AAATAGTATATTTCGTAACGAGTGCAAAAAAGTGTTTTTTGGCGAGTATGAGGTTTATATCACTCGCCTTCGGCTCGTGATATAATCCCACGAGCTAAAAAACATTTTTTCACGAGTTACGAACAATATTTTTCATCACAATGTGGCGGAAATTGGACTTTTAAGCACGCGGAGCGTGCCGAAAAGTTCACTTTTCGTCACAGCGTGATGAAAAATATTTTTTGTCATGACGGCCGTAGGCAGAGATTCGTCGCGTCCGTGAAACGCTGCCTTACGGCCGGAATGACGAAATTTTTTTTTATTTTCAACAAGTTTTTATTCAAAATATAAACAATCATTATTTACAATATTTATATTCCTTAAAAACTATTATTCAAAAAGTCTATGAACTATATTTATAATTTTTTTCTATAAACTTTGGCCAATGGTGACTCTCGAGTTTATTTATTATGACAAAAGATGTTTTTGTGAGCAATTTTTTAAATAACAGTATATTTCTGTTTCTAGATTTTGGCTTTAATACTTGCAATCGATATATTTTAGTTTTTAGTTTTTATTAGTGCTTAAAAAAATTTTGTCTGGTACGCATGGATGTAAAACGAAAAGTTTGTATCGCTTAGCTTGTTGGGCGGTGTTCGAGGTGAAGCCGGAACTCTCGAGAATCGCTCAGCGATCTCATTTACGAGTAAAAAACTAATAATAATAATAATAATAATAATAATAACAATCTGAACTAACGTATACTCGGTTAACCTTGTACTTTCGTCCACCAGACGTTGAGCTGGCCAGCTTTCGAAGAACAAATGAAATGTCTGAGCGCAGGTGAATGATGCATACCTAAAAGCCTCGTCAGGGCGATTCAATTTCGTAGCGGCCTGGAAATGTTCGATATTATGGATAAAAATCGATGATGCATATTTCCGTACATTACGTATATGACGTACTTGGAATCCTGTGAAGCTTATAGTGATCATATTGAGTCCTAGTTGCAGTAAGAAAGATGTCGAATTCGCTGATTCAATCAGTTGTGCGTATCTAATTAATTTCAAATAAAATCAATAATATGATCATTACGCCCAGTGTATCCTCGTATTTTTAGCTAAAAATACAAACTGAATGGCCTTTGAATGTCTGATGATGCATTCTGTCATGCGTTTGTACGATGCATCATCTCGCAACGTTGGATTTAGATTGGCATCTAGATCGTGATCATCCACCAGTTTTTCCAAGCGATACCTGAATAATAATTATTGAAACATCTATCGTTATAGCGTGCAACGAATTCAACCTGTTGTTCTTGTCAAAGTCTGATATGTACCCAACAATGTTGAATATAGCACATGCTCGTTGAACATATGTCATGAACATTGTGTCGATAGCAACAACAACTGTGATATAAGTCATCGTACCAAAATACGAATGTATCACCAATGGGTAATAATATTTGTTGATATCGATGAAGTACTCGACGTGAAACATCAGTGGCTTTGCCATTGTGAGATTAGGATTTATTTCGATTAAACTTTTGGGAATGAGCCGTAGCAATGGTGGCACCAGTGGACCCAGCATAAAAGGGGCCATAGATCCATAAACAGCTCCTGTTTCCAAAATATTTGAAATGTGTGTGTGTATATGTGACGCCCGCCTTCATTATCTGCCGCGAACGTTTTTTGAATTGATTTTTTTGTTCGATTTTTATCTCGAAAATTCAACTCGATGCCCCGTTAATCAGGAACACTCGAAAATTCTGAATTTAGATTGAAAAAAAGTAAAAAAAACTCGGAATATTTTGAAAGAGCGTTTTTAACTCTCGATCACTCGCCCAATGAGCGCGGCGCCGCCCGTTTTGGTTTTTTTACATTTTATCGTGTTTCTCGACGTTTAAAAATTCGGAAAAAATTAATTTCTGGTTCAATCCTTTTATTAAGCAATGGCGTTGTCCGTTTTTTCTCGGGAAATTTGTTTAGCTAAGAAAAGAGAAGAAGCGTCGAACGGACGGAAAAGGGGCGCCGCGCCGGCCGGAGCGAGCGAGTCCCTGTCGACGCCTCGAGCGACAGAGTTGCTACATTCACTGCCACACTTGAAATGCGCGCATAGTGGTCAGCGCAAAGGTGGCAACAGCGCGCTCGGTTCAACTCGGCGGCGCTGCGCTAACCGTGGGACGGAGGAAGGCGGCGGACGAGCGTGAGTGATAGAGGGTTAATTAATATCAAGGAATGATTTCAATGGAGGTGATATCAATAATGTATAATTACCGTGGCAAATGGCGGCTTGTCAGTCACCACCATTGGGGAGGAAAGACAGAATAATAAATCCTCTGGAAAACCGCAACAATTAAGATGACGGTACGGAAACAGGCTCTTTCAAAAAATTTATAATATTTTTAAGAATGTTTTATTGCACTTTTACAGTGAATTACTAAGCACAAAGGGTCAGATTTTCCGTTTTCCAGAGGGAAAGTCGACTTTCGCCAAAATCGAATTTTTTAGCCAGGTGAACGTTGATTTTAACTATTTAAGCGACGGGCTATTCAGAACTATCAAAAGTATGTGGAAAAAGTGAAAAATGAAAAAAAAAATTTTTCACCGGAGGCCAAAGTGTCGAATCTTGGATTTTTCCGGGGGAAAAGTCGGTCCAAGGGTCACAAGGGTCAAAGTGTCGGATCTTGGATTTTTCGCCAAAATCGAATTTTTTAGCCGGGTGAACGTTGATTCCAACTATTTGCAATACAAGAGCAAATTCCCATTGTTTTTCAATCTAAATTCAGAATTTTCGGGGTCTCTGAGTGACGGAGCATCAAGTTGAAATTTCGACATAAAAATCGAACAAAAAAGCCATCTAGATAACATTAAGCATATAATGGAGCCGGGCCTCAATCTGAAATCTTTTTAACAAATATCAATATTATCTCACCAGCATACATAAGTACATTCTTTCGACTATCTTCCGACCATTTTCGTAAAAGTGCGATTTCGAATTCATCTTTCAATTCTAACCAGTCTCTCCTCAGAACGTCTATCAACTCCTTCATCTACGCAAACAAATTCATTAAAAAAAGTGAATATATATATTCTTCTTTTGGAGTTAATGTTATACAAACCTTATGCCCATTATAAATGAAATTTATGAACTTGATGACGCACATGATTGATATTAAAACCGGCGCTAACGATTCCAGAAAAATTGGAGTATCGCACCAAGCGGCTACAAGACCACCGGTCTTGAAAATTGTCGCTCACGTTTAATTCTATATTTTTCACAATTAAATCCCGGGTGGATTAGCTTTCGAACCTTATCTCGATTGTTTTTCCATCTTCATAATGTAAAATATATCACAATTTCCATTAGATTTGTCATCACGCCGGAGCCACTAAAAATTATGATCGTATAATAAAAAAAAATAGACCAAAAACTAAACTTTTTCAAAGAGGGTTTTTAATAAAGATTAAGAAATAAGTCCGATAGTGAGGAAATAGTCAATGGATAATTTATCATGGTAACTAACGACCTGACTGCCATTGACTACTGTGATAAATGACCACCTAACAGCCATTAGATAGGGGAGGGTGAGGGAAAACGGAACCCTTAGGCAAAACGGACCACTGACAGAAAATTGATAATTTTTGTTTTTGCTTCCGCAAACAAAAAAAAGAAAATTTAACCCTAGTTTGGTCAGAAACGTCGCGCAACTGGCAATTTCATTTAACACGGGAAAAAATTGTTCACCTGTTGGAAATAACTTTTTCATCAGGCTGTGACGAAAAGTGAACTTTTCGGCACGCTCCGCGTGCCTAAAAGTCCAATTTCCGCCATATTGTGGCGAAAAATATTGTTCCTAACTCGTGAAAAAATGTTTTTTAGCTCGTGGGATTATATCACGAGCCGAAGGCGAGTGATATAAACCTCCCACTCGCCAAAAAACTCTTTTTTGTACTCGTTACGAAATATACTATTTCTGTACTGCTTCTCACGATTTCTCGTTTGGGAATTGGTATTACATACTTCCCAAACTCGAAAACTTGAAAATCACTACAGAAAAATATTGTTCCTGGGCTGTTGCGATGGGGTTTTTTTACTCGCCTACGGCTCGGAGGCCAAAGCCACACGAGTAAAAAACGCCATCGCAACAGGCCGGAAAATACTATTTTTCTCCCAGAATTAAGGATACAATATTGAAAAAAAATACTAGAATTTTCCAGATACTTCAATTGACGAATTCAATTTTTCTCAAATTTTTTCGGTCAACCAGTCGATGGCAAGGTGAATAAAACGATGTATTGCGGCAATTCCCTCGCATGGTGACCAGTCTAGGGTTAAAGTCATTTGTGATTTGAGGTGATAAGCAAAGCTGATGAAATTGCGGTTCAACGACACTTGTTGTCTTTAAAACCCCTGTGACGGTTACGATCCAAGAGACTCACTTTTAATTTAACACATTCAGTCTTCTTGATTTGAAGGAAAGAAAAAAAAAATTACCAATTTTCTGTCAGTGCCCCGTTTTGCCCTAGGGGTCCGTTTTGTCCTGCGGTTTGTTTTGCCCTACCCTCCCCTACATCAAATCAGTAATTGGTCGTTTTCTCCCTATTGGGTTTATTCCCCACACGGAGAGAAATTTTTATTAAAATTACCCTACCGATCTATAAAAGTGTATCATGAGTCATCGTTTCTTTATTTCTATCCAGAAATTTAGTAAAAATTAATATATGATGATCAAACCTTATTCTACGTTAGAGAAATTTTATTCTGATAAAAATAAAAATTACCGGGCCGGTAGAGTAAAATTTACCAACCGTTCTAGAAGTTTCGTTGTTTATCTACATAAAATTACTGGACTGGAAGGATAAAATTTATTATGCGTCAGGATAAGATTTCTGTTACGTAGAATAAAATTTGATCATCATATAGGTATTAATTTTTACTAAATTTCGGGATAGAAATGAAGAAACGATGACTCATGATGCACTTTTATAGAACGGTAGGGTAATTTTCATCAAAAATTTCTCTCCGTGCAATATTATTCAAAAACGCTCTTTGAAGATATTCAGCTTTTTTCAACGTCATTTCATTTTTTTATTGCACAATCATAATTTTTGTAGACTCCAGGGCTACACGGAGAGATGTTCAGTAAAAATTACGGAAGTCACAATTCAGTAGCGAAGCGGTATACTGGGTTAAGTCGATTTTGACTTTGGGTTAGTTTTCGATGAATATCTCGGAATCTAAGAGAGATGGCAGAATTTTCCCCATGACCTTTTTTGTAACCCTCAATTGGCTCTACAAAAAAGGTAATGACAAAAAATTTTCTATCTCTTTTAGATTCCGAGATATTCATTGAAAACTGACCCAAAGTCAAAATCGACTTAACCCGGTTTATCGCTTCACTACTGAATTCATTCACCGATTACCGAATCGACTCAGAAAATTTAAGTGACGGTCTCGTAATTTTTCACAGGAGATTCAGTTCCGTAAAATTGCCTACAACCACATTTCGCTCCGGAATTACGGAAAAGATACGCAATTTTTATTGAATATTTCTCTCCGTGTATGTAAAACTGAATAGCAATTGGAGATCATTTCAGATGACCAAAATAAAAAGAACACCACGATCACGTTCGAAGGATAATCCACCCGGGCCTTAAACACAGGACAATTCACAGAACAAATTTTTGAATTTTCACCTGCAAAAACCCTTGTGTGACGAGAAAAAATATTGCCAGAATAAAGAATAATGATTGTTGAAATTTACGTTGATACGGCCAGAGGCCAATGGATGATAGAAGGATACCATTGAGTTTCACGTAACAATCAGGAGTCCCTGCCATTGTGCAATGTGAATTATTATGTGTCATATGCTGTGCTACGATATAAGCTACGGTTGTCTGTTGGTGGGGCGGAAGAGGAGGAGGAGGAAGAAGGTTTATATACTCAAACGTTTTTCATCTTCATATTTCTTCATTAATTCAAAGCGAATTAAGTATTCTCTTGGACAACATTTGTTTCGAGTGAAGTACCGAGAGGCGCATAATTACAGGGTCAACTTTTCAATTTCTCCGTATACACTTTACTTGGAACATTGTTTTTCATGTTCGCATTGTGAGGTGAGTCATAAGACCCTTGAATTTAGGAAAGATGAGAGGTTTACATGCATAATTTTGGTTTATGCGAAAGAGGAACAGAGTTCTTTGTCGAGTCAATATTCAGTGATGCCGACAATATATTTCTGACAAACGACATTCACAAAAAAGCATTTATAAAAATGTTACATACATCACATAGAACGGGACCACATTCGTGGCACATGTGTACCACCGACAACTGCGATACTTATCTCAGTGAGAGCAGAACGGCGATGTACGACATTGAAGTTCGGACCACCTGGAAGAAGATCATGAGAGACAGGATGACGTGGCCCTCCGTGGGAAGGTACTGATCATAATGTAATAAATAGTATATTGTGCCCCTAGGGAGTAATAGTATTTTTCCGGCCTGTTGCGATGGGGTTTTTTACTCGTGTGGCGTTGGCCTCTGAGCCGTAGGCGATTTATGGGCTTCTTATGGAATTATGGGCTTCTTATGGAATTTTGATTAAATTAAACGTTTCAACCCCCTAGGAACTCAAGAAAAATTTGAAAAAATTCGAAGATATGGGGAATGATGTGTTCAATGCGATGGCGACAAAGACAATGGGGTACCGGGGTGAATAAGAGAGATATTTCAACCCGCCGTACCCATTTGATCCCATGCTTTCTCGAGGTTCGTCACGCGAAATAGAGGATTTTCCGCATTTATTTTCTCGATGTCTAGTTCCGGTTGCGGGTTTGAAATTTCGTCGGATGGGTGAATACATATTTCTCCAATGATGGAGGGAAAGAAAAAATTTTTTTTGAATCTTTTTTCAAATTCACTTGGCACCCTTAAGTGGTCGCATCGTGAAGTGGTCGCATCGTTAAGTGGTCGCATCGAATCCCCACCAAACCATACGCGACGTATAGCGCGCCATTGTAGAGCGAGTGAGATTATACTAAACAAGCACGACCATTTAAGGGTTAATGGGCACAAAGACGAGAATTCCTTAATTTATTGGACTTTCCAATCTAATATGAATATTCAGTGCCAAATTGCATTGAATTTTCAGCTATAATACCCCAAGACCTTCAAAATTATCGGATATTTCCCGAATGTTTTGTTGCATAGCAACGAGAGGGATCAGTTTTGCAGATTAAATTTTTTACAAGGGTGAACAGTCCAATTATGGAATACTCAAGGCTCTTCGGAACTTCAGACAATGGTTTGAAAATGAACTATTGTTTGAAAAACTATAAAAAAAATACTGATCAATTTCAAATTCAATAGGTTTCTGAAAAAAAAGAAAAAACACATAGATAGGTAAATATTCCAGAAATCTGGTAAAATATTCAAGTGTTCCGTTAATTGGGGGGGTTCCGCAATTGGACTGTTCATCTTAGTTATTCAATAATAAGTCGACATCTCACCCTACAACAGCGAAAATGGCGCAGGCATGTTCAACATAGACCATAAACATGGTATCAATAGCAACGACGACTGTGAGGAACGCCAAAGTTCCGCAATAACCGTGAATAAATAAAGGATAGTAGTATTTTTCCGTGTCTAGCAGATAATCAACTTGCTCAAACATTAATTGTTTCGATATGGAATCATTTTGAGTCGCTATGAAATTATGGATTATCGGCACAAGTGGAATCAGCAAGAACGGAGTCATCGTTCCGTACAAGGCACCTGCAAATTTATTGTACATCAAGATGGTGAAATAATAATAGTAATATTTTCTTCTACCAATTTGACAACTTACCACAATACATAAGAGTCAATTTCCTCGCAAAGAGAGAGTATTTATTCAAGATTGCAGCCTCCGAATAGGTTTTCACGTTTCTCCAGTCATCTTCTAAAATGAGCAATAGTTGTTTCATCTAAAAACATGGCAACTGTCAGTCTTCCAATTCTTGTATTCTTGCACTGGTAAAATAGTATATAATAGTAAACCTTATCTCCATTATAAAAAAAATTGAAGATTTTGGCAGCGCAGGTAAAATCCACCAAAACAGTTGGTATTGATTCCAAAAAGAGATCGATGTTGTTTCTCGCGCATATCATGCCAGCAATCTTCAGAGAAAAGAAAAAAAATTTTTTTTTTTTTAAACAAGTTGATATCTCGATTTTCGCACAAGCTAGCGAGATTACAAATTTTTTTAGGAAAAAACGGAAATACCTCGAAAACTTTGTATGATTGGATACATACGTTTTGATTGATTTAGATAGAAGGCATCTAAACGAATATTTTGAAAACAAAAAATCGAAAATGGTCCACTAGTTTTGAAGATATTTGCGGAAAACGATTTAAAAACGAATGGCTTATTCTCAAAAACTATTAGATCGAGCGAGTTGAAATTTTGCACAGATATAGACCTCATTTTGTCGGACTTATAATCTGACAAAATTTTAGATTTTTTGGAATTACTTTAGTCACTTGAGGGGATACGTCGGTGAAATTTAAAAGTCTTCACTGGGCCTTGGGATCCATTGAACAGTTTATAATACATGACGGAACATAGGAATAACTAGGGAAAATCTTGGACCCGATCGATTTTGCCTCGTATAACCACGAAAAATTTCATTTTTTCGTGTTTCTACCTTCAAAATGCTCCTGTGCCGTAGTTTTCATACGATTTTGGCTTTTTTTAAAATGTTCGTTATACTCCAAAGAATAAAGTTAAGCATCTGTTTTACTTTATTCCCAATAGATCATGAATAAATGAATTTTGAGTTTCATAAATTTTTCGCGTCTCTATATAGTTAAGTAAAATTTATGAAATTCAAAATTCATTTATTCACGACCTTTATTCTTTGGAATGTAACGAACACTACAAAAAAAAAAGCTAAAATCGTATGAAAACTATGGCACAGGAGCACTTTCCTATCCTATTCTAAAAAGAACATACACTTAAAGTCGATAACTATCGATATCTCGCAAGTCTGTCACGCTTATTTCTCATTGGTCCCAGTCGTCTGAGGCGGCAAATTTAATTCATGATTAATTTAATTTTGAGATTTTCAATTATGATTGTTACAATTACAGCGCGCTGTAGCGCGCGTTCGGTTCTAAAAAGAACAGACGCCGTAAACTGTAGCGTAACGCTTATTCCTCGAATTTCATTGGTCGAACATTCGGATCCGCCCGCACATGTTCGACCTCGGTCGGCTTTCGGGTCACGATTTGTCTTTAACACGCGCGCTCAAGCGCGCGATCATTCTCGTGAAGGTAAAAACGGGAAAAAATGAAGTTTTTCATGGTTATACGGGGCAAAATCGATCGGGTGCGCGATTTTCCCTAGTTATTCCTGTATTCCGCCATATATCACAAACTGTTGAATGGGTCGCAAGGCCCAACGAAGACTTTTGAATTTCACCGACGTATCCCTTTAATTAATTCTACATAATTTCCAAACAAAATGAGAGGATATGAAAATTGAACGATTATAATGCTTCCATTCGGAGCAAAAAAATAACACACAATAGTTACACTTTCGACTTTTATCACTAGTATTCCATTAAAAACACTCAAATGTACTCCAATATGACCTCAAGTTTTCCCAATATCGCTCAAGCGTTCAAATATATTACCTGTAAATAGGCCTGAGTACTCGTAAAAAACAACATCAAACAATAGCAAATAGTTTTCGCAACTTTTGGCTGATGCGGCCATTGGCCTACAATATTTAACAAAATTTTATTAATCCGTAAGTGCGGAGTTGCTAAAGTTTCCATGTCGTATTTTCAAATACTGTTACCAAACTGACTGTCACACCTGGATAAGAGTTATCACACTGCTTTCTACAATCAATCGTCATTACGCATTCCCTCCCGTGACAAAGCAATTGAGAAAATTTCATATAATAGGTTGATTGCATGACAATTAAAGTAGTTATATTACAAATGCCATTTCTGTTTTCACCGATCCATTTGGAAAGATGAAACAGAATTTTAGGAGCTTTAGTAAGTTACCTCTTATAATTATTGACCCCCCCCCTTTTTCCATTGCCGACATGAAGTAGCCGGTCCTCCGAGAAGTATTCGATATCGTATTCGGAATAACTGTCGCTGAAAAATACTATTTTCCATCAATTTTTGTATTTTATTATATAATAGACAAAATTCCACATTATTCTCGAATAGTTTTTTTAAATATTCTTGTGAATGATGAAATTCCTGACATAATGGGGATGATAAATGTGATGAGTCGATTGAAGTACAATCGTTCGCAATACAATAATATCAATCACTTGAATGAACATATAATTAATCACTGGTTGATGTGACTCATTATTATTGATCCTTGCTCATTAGTTTGTTTCTCTTTTTAGTGGAAAAATACGTGATGGATAATAATAGGTTGACTGATTGACAATTAGAACAGTAATATTACAAGTCCCATTTCTGTTTTCACCGATCCATTTGGAAAGATGAAACAGAATTTTAGGAGCTTTAGTAAGTTATCTCTTATAATTATTGAAATCCTCCGCCACATGCCCTTTTTCCATTGCCGACATGAAGTAGCCGGTTCTCCAAGAAGTATTCAATATCGTATTCGCAATGAATGTCGCCGAAAAATACTATTTTCCATCAATTTTTGTATTTTATTATATAATAGACAAAATTCCACATTATTCTCGAATAGTTTTTTTAAATATTCATGTGAATGATAAAATTCCTGACATAATGGGGATGATAAATGTGATGAGACGATTGAAGTGCATTCCCAATACAAAAATATCAATCACTTAAATGAACATATGATTAATCACTGGTTGATGTGACTCATTATTATTGATCCTTGCTCATTAGTTTGTTTCTCTTTTTAGTGGAAAAATACGTGACGGATAATAATAGGTTGACTGATTGACAATTAGAACAGTAATATTACAAGTCCCATTTCTGTTTTCACCGATCCATTTGGAAAGATGAAACAGAATTTTAGGAGCTTTAGTAAGTTATCTCTTATAATTATTGAAATCCTCCGCCACACGCCCTTTTTCCATTGCCGACATGAAGTAGCCGGTTCTCCGAGAAGTATTCAATATCGTATTCGCAATGAATGTCGCCGAAAGTACTATTTTCCATCAATTTTTGTATTTTATTATATAATAGACAAAATTCCACATTATTCTCGAATAGTTTTTTTAAATATTCTTGTGAATGATGAAATTCCTGACATAATGGGGATGATAAATGTGATGAGTCGATTGAAGTGCATTCCCAATACAAAAATATCAGTCATTTAAATGAATATATGATCAATCATCAATCATTAGTTTATGTAACTCATTATTATTGATCCTTGCTTATTAGTTTTTTTTCTTTTTTTAGTGGAAATGCACGTGGCGAATAATAATGGTTGCATATTACTGAGGCAAGTTTGTTACGCTCGCATCGATGTAAAAACTGTGAGGTATGAAAAAGACGTCTTCACAACCTGGTGATAACAAAAAAAATCACTATCAATCGGTATTTTCAATTGGCTCAAGTGAGTGAATTGACGATGGTAATTACCTCGCTGAAGCTTCTCAAGGACATGGTGTACATTTTTCCAGCTGTCATTCTACAGGGTTTTGTGCTTCTCATTAACAGAGGAATGATGAGTCGTTGGGTACGAACCGATGTGTAGTTCCATCTCGCATTGTACCTAGAATAATAACGTGGTCGAATAGTGTGCCTAAATGGCTTGTATTTTAAATTTAATTGTAATCTTTGTCTATCTTTCAATTGTTTGGCCGTACGAGATCGTTAATGAAAATGATAATGATAATTGTGATGAAGATATGTGATCACATCACCTATAAAACTATTATATTACTGAAAAAAAAAATTGCAGGCGGCTGTATCTTCGATACAGCTGTAATTGTACGTGGATACGTCCATGGTCTTTCCTTCTTTCTCGAATTTTCTAGAAACTCCCTGAATGTCCTCGAAATTTTAAGAAACTTCTCGAAATACCTCGAAATATCTAGAATTTTCTAGAATTCCGATAGATGACGCTGCACATAAGGACCATTTCCCAAAATAACCCCCCATATTGAAACCACAGACGTATCCATGTCAAAAAAATAACAATAATAATAATAATAAATAATTAAGGCCCGGGTGGATTATTTTTCGAACGTGATCTTGATTGTTTTTTTTTTTATTTTGATAATCTGAAATGATCTCCAATTGCTATTCAGTTTTACATAGCCCTGGAGTCTCAAAAATTATGATTGTACAACAAAAAAAACGTTGAGAAAAAGCTGAACATTTTCAAAGAACGTTTTCAAATAATATTGAGAAATAAAACCAATAGGGAGGAAATTGCAAATTAATAATTTGATGTATCTAATGGCTGTTAGGTCTTCATTTGTGACAGTAGTCAATGCCTGTCAGATCATTAGTTGCCATGATAAATTATCCATTCACTATTTCCTCTCTATCGGACTTATTACTTAATCTTTATTAAAAACGCCCTTTGAAAATGTTCAGTTTTTTTTCTACTTTTTTTGATTATACAATCATAATTTTTAGGGACTCCTGCGTGATGTAAAATCCAATGGAAATTGTGATGTATTTTACATTGTGAAAATGGAAAAACAATTGAGACAATGTTCGAAAGATAACCCACCCGGGCCTTAAATTAAAAACACACAGACTGCTGAACGAAATAAATCCGTGAACGAAATAACGAATGAAAACTAATCTACGATGGAAAATTGAACGAAAACAAAATATAATAATGTAAATAATTCATAAGATTCATTTATAATAATTATGTTATATTTTGGATTTCCCTTAAGAGATTATTGTATCTCAGAAAAGTAATAAATTGCTTCTAATCTAGTCTAATAATATTGGTATTGAAATTCAAAGCTTATTCTTTCTTCTACAGATTGATACCAACACATTGGAGAATACAGATTCACTGTGTTCCTGGAGTAATTGCCCCTGCCAATTACTGTAGAAAAGATGAAACATTTCGCCTATGGTGAAGGCCACAAATTTTCCAGCGACGTCGGGGTTATCCATTTTAAAAACTGCCTGGACATAGGACGCTATTGTGAGGACAAGGTGAGAGATTGATATCTCCTATGTGATATGCCTATTGAATAAATAAAGTATTCACCACTAGAGCTGAGGAAGTCATCATCAGCATGTTGATTCCGACGATGAAGGTGAAAGACATGTAATTAGCCTCTTCTATGAGATCGCAAAATCTGATTGATGAAAAAGTCAAGATGTGTCACATATGAGAATTCTCCATCGGTAACGTTAAACTTATTCATAACATATTATATTAGTAATGAGAGAAAAAAGTTGATATGTGTATCAATTAAAATAGGACAGGAGAGAAACAAAATCAATGGTCTAATTTCAGATGTTGATTTGAAAATACCAATTTTCCGACACTATGGTGAACAGTCTAATTATGGAACTCTCAAGGCTCTTCGGAGATTCAGACAATTTCATTTCATTTCATTTTGTTTCATGAAGACCCAACAGCACAAGGCCAATTACAGGATCAAACTACAGTCTACATACAATATAAAAACGAAATCATTAATCGACAAAATTTGACAAAACTGTAATGACGGAAAGCATCACTAAGATCAAACAATCCAGAAAGTTATACAACCAAGTATCCCATCCATACAACTTGCATTATTTCAACATATTTTTGACAATGATTTAAAAGTGAACGACTGTTTGAAAACAAAAAATACTGGTCAACTCCAAATTCAGTAGATTTCAGAAAAAAAAGAAAAAACATCTTCTGTAATGAGAAATAATCGGGGAAAAATCTAAAATTATGTTCAAGTCCAAAATACTTATTACGGAACACTTTTGCCAAATATGGAACATCGTGCGCCCAATTACGGAACATTATAACTATCGGTTCCGCAATTGGACTGTTCACCCTACAAAACTACAGAAATAATATGAAATCATCTATCCATCAATACCCACGCTATTGCATGGTTGTGCCTTTCGATGCAGGCCGCCATATTTTTATAATCTATTTCGTCAAACTCGGGAGTGTGACAATCAGCGTCATCAGCGTCGACTTTGGCCAATCGTTCCAGCATTAATCTATACAAATTACCAACATCATTGATGACAATTTAAGATGTTGCTACGTTTTGCTACCATGGCGAGATCAATGACACATGAATCCATCATTTTCTCATTTCCAATGAACAATGAAATGGCATTCGTTTATTTGAAAATCCCAATCGATCGATATTATTCACTCGGGATTCTGATTGTAATCTCACCGGACTATTGAGAATTGCGCACAAGCATGCTGAATGTACACCATCAACATGGTATCGATGGCAATGATGATGGTGAGGTAGCCGGCTGTTCCAATGTATCCGTGAATTATGAGTGGAAATAAGTAGGATTCAAAATCCAATAGAAATTCAATCTGTTGAAACATCAGGTGTTTCGGGTAACTCACATTCATGGGCATTACGACGTCCAGGACAATGGGTACTAGAGGCGTCAGCATTAGCGGTATGAGAGATCCATATAACGCACCTGGTGATTGCAAATTCAAATTTATCCAATCATCATTACTACTCCGTCTTTCAATTTCTAGATCTGGGTTTAAATATTCACCCGCATAATAAACAGTCACCTTCCTCCCAAATTGCGCGTATTCGTTCAGTATGTCAAGCTCTTCTCCTGCTGTATAATGTTTCCAGTCTTCCTCGATTATGAGCAAAAGTTTTTTCATCTGAGAAAACGAAACAAAAATAACAAGTAGTGAATAAGCTCCCAGAGGTGAAAATAATCGACAAAATGACGATGTGTGACTTTTTAGAAAAACTAAAAACGCGCCAAAGCTAGAATCGGCGGCTAGAAGGAAGAAAGTGTGTATCAGAATATAATATTAATATAGATAATATATAAATATATAATATATAAATATAAACAATTCAATTCAGTCACGTAGTTTTCGAGATATTTGAAAAATAGCTGTATCTCGGGAACCACTAGACCGATTGAGCTGAAATTGCGCCCAGAAGTGCTCGAAAGTAATACCAATTATGCGACGAAATTTCAGTTTTTTAGCTTCAACTTTAGTCCTTTTTCTGTGAAGATTTATAAAAACATACATACACACATGTTCTAAAAACCTCATATCTTCACGTTTCATGACATTCTACATAATTTCCAAGCAAAGTCAGGAGATCGTAAAAATGGACGACTACAAAGCTTCCGCTCGGAAGCAAAACACCAAAAATATTATATTTATATAATACCATAATCCTATAATATAATATTTTTATATCATATTTTGATACCGGTGCGTAAAAGTGCTTTTTGACCCGTAGGAGGTGTGTGGCCTTCGGCGAACGCTACCCTTCCAAGGGTCAAAGAACACTTTTCCCTCAAGTGTTGAACCCTATGTTTCATCACAATCTGTGAAAAACCGAGCGTGCGTAAAATATTACTTTAAACACAAGTGATGAAAAATCAATAATAAACCCGTTAATTGTATACGAGAAACACATTATACTCACTTTTGCCGCATTAATGCTAAAATTGAAATATTTGAAATAGCAAACAACATCGGCCAAGACCGTGGGTATCGCCTCCAAAAAGACATCGATGTCAACTATGGCGGCAACCATACCAGCAGTCTATTGAAAGAAAATTTATAAATATAGAAATAATAATGATAACAATTCTAATAATAATAATAATAATAATAATAATAATAATAATAAAGTAGACATCACCTGCAAATATCCATGAGTAATAGTAACCAATAATGTAAATGTATAAAAAGAATATCTAGATATTGATGACTGCAGTGGCCAAAGGCCAATAATCGTCAGGAAAGTTCTATTGATACGGTGATAAGGTGTTATAACACGGTCCATTGGCACTGTCGAGTCTTCAAACCAAAACTGCCGACTGCCACAGACCCTGACGTTTCTCTGACGATGTCTTATTCTATCGATCATTTTTCATTACGCATTCTCTTGGTAATGCACTTCCTAGGAAACACGTGTCTAATGTGCGTGATGTCTCTATGAAGTGTGTTTGAATAGATGATCACAAGTGGTACAAAAGCTTTTGACTATATTAATACTAAAATACAGGAGTAGTCAGCCTACAAAATGAATTATTATTCTATTTGTCCATTTTTTGTTGTGTCCATCACGTTTGTGAATTTATCAGTAAGACATTGTCGCATGTTTATTCATTTTGTGAAACACGCAAATGTCGCAGTGTTTGTGGTTTCATTTTGATAAATCATCGGGATTCGGGGGAGGGAAATTGCGAAAATTGTATATCACAGTGTCACGCGTATGAGACGCACGGAGAGAAATGTTCAGTTAAAATTATGGAACTCACAATTCGCTCACCGATTACGGAATCGACTCCAAAAAATTAAAGGGCGGTATCGTAATTTTTCACAGGAGATTCAGATAAATATTGGGGAACGCTCTGGAAAAATTCTGTGACAGTTCTGTAAAATTTCCTACAACCACATTTCGCTCTGCACGGAGAGAAATATTCAGTAAAAATTACGGAACTCAGAAGTCACTCATCGATTACGGAATCGACTCAGACAATTTAAGTAACGGTATCGTTATTTTTCACAGGAGATTCGGATAAAAATTACGGACCGCTCCGAAAAAATTCCGTGACAGTTCCACACTGATAGAAAGGATTAGTTATTGTTAACGAATGGATTTGGTTGAAGATGAGGGTCTATTCGGTCTTGCCAAATGTTCATTCGTTAATAGTTAACGAATCTCGTTTGGAATAAATGAATCAGTCTATCAGTGCATAACATTTTCTACAGCCACATTTCGCTCCGGAATTACGGAAAAGATACGTAATTTTTATTGAATATTTCTCTCTGTGTGGAATTACGGAAAAGATACGTCATTTTTGTTGAATATTTTTCCCAATCGGATTTCGACCAATCAAAGTGCATTATTTGAGACTACCCGACAGTTTTAGTTCGGATATTTGCTCCTAGCTTTTGAATATTTCGCCGTAGTTCTTCATTTTTTTCCCTGAATATTTCTGTCCGTGCATCTTTCTGTATTCACCTTATGCTCCTTTGCAATTAAAAATTGTATCATTCATAATTACATAAATTTTATTTTTGTCTATACGTCTCTAGTCATCATCAATTTACAAAAATAACGCATAGAGGTACGGTATTCTTCAACATGATAACCAGCGTTGAGATATTCAATTGAAATATCTATCGCATTGATAGCAATAGAGTGAAGAAAGACATAGTCATCCTCATGGCCTTTGAATGAAAGTAATCATTGTTATTATCGTCACCATTGATTGTCATTTGAGATTTATTACTGAAGACTTACAGCACCAAAACTCTCCATCGACATGACGTAGAATTTGCCGGCCGTGATTTGACATGGATTTGCGCTTCTCATCATCAGAGGGAGGAGCATCCGTTGTAATTTGGGAGGGAAGGTGTACCATTCACTCTGGTAACTGTTGAATAAATCAAAATTAATTATATTGTGACGATGAATGATGGTTGGTAAACTGATACGCACACTGATGAATATATTGTCTCACTCTCCACTATCAGAGCGTGGCCTTGCCAACTGCTCCAGAATAGATGGAATATCGTGCCGATGTTGAAAGATGCGAATCTAATTATTTCACTCACTTCATTACCTTTGATGACGATCTGCATATTGAACGAACATAGACTTTATTATCAACGATTGGCTGAAGAAAAAAAACAGCCAGAGGGAGACGACTCACGTACGAAAAAATCCTATAGAAAATTCGAACATTTCCTATAGAATTTTTATAGGAAATTCTATAGAGAATCCTATAGGGAATTTTTATTTTTTTTATAGGAATCCTATAGGAAATCGTATAGAGAATTCGAACATTTCCTATAAGATTCCTTATCAGGTTTTTCGTACTGTATTTCTTATAGATGTTCCGTAGAATTTCATATGAGATTTTTAATAGGATTTCTTATAAAATTTTGGAAATCCTAAATTTTATAAGAAATTTAGTGAGGGTAAACGGAACGGAGGGGTTTTTATGAGAGTCAAACGGATTCCTTTAAAGTAGCTCTACCCTTACGGTAAATTCAAAGATCATTGAAAACTGCAAAAAAATTGCAGAAAATTCGCTTAGATTCGGAATTCTAAGTTTTTTCTCAAGTTAATTATCGTTTTGGTTTTTCAAAGAAGAAATGTTCAAAAATCAGGATTTAACCCACTGTCTTATGTGAAAATCAACATTTCGATTGTAATTGAAGATTAAAATCTGATTTTTTTTCATTAGATGTGAAAAAATCAAGACTTTTTTGGACACCTCATAAAGAATAATCCACCGTTTTGCAAATAAGTTTTATCATTTATTTATAAGAGGGAAATGTTTAAAAATATATCAATATTTTGCGACATTTAATTTAGATAATACTGACTGGGTATGAATTTTTCAAAGTTTTCCATGCAATTTAGTTGAAAAATTTAAAATCTAAAAATATCCAAAAGTTCAGCGTAGCCCGGCCGAAGGGTAGAGCTACTTTAATAGGATTTCGTAAATTTCATAAGAAATCCTATCTCAGGAGATCTTATCTGAAAAATCCTATAGGATATGTTCGAATTCTCCATAGGATATCCAATAAGATTTCCTATAGGAAATCCTCCAATAAGATTTCACTATAGGAAATCCTATAGGATTTTTTCATACGTGTTGTTCATAGGGGAGGATGGGGCAAAACGGCCCCCCTTCAATCGTCAATATTTTCCGATTCAATAATCCGATTGGGATGAGTTAGAGCTCGTTTTGAAGAATGAAAAATTATCTTCAAAATGAAGTTGAAACTGGGAATTTTCACAATGTCATTCAATGTTTTGCCCCATCCTCCCCTACATAAAAATGATTTATTCCAATTACGGAATCGACTCAAAAAATTTAAGTGACGGTATCGTAATTTTTCACAGGAGATTCAGTTAAAAATTACGGAACGCTCTGAAAAAATTCCGTGACAGTTGCGTAAAATGTCCTGCAACCACATTGCGTTTCGGAATTACGGAAAAGGTACGTAATTTTTATTGAATATTTCTCTCCGTGCAGCTGTAATTATCGATCATTGGAAGTGGTTCAATTTAGGCCCAGTTGAATGCTTACCATCATTCCAGTCGATGTTATCACCAGCATGTTCATTCCAACCAGTAGTAAAAATGGAATTGTACAAATTGATTCCAACCGTTGAACAAACCTATCGTTAAAGATGTCTCATATCGTTTCTCATCCTTCTCCTATTGTCCTCTATTAATTTCTATAGCGTAATGTAGAGATATTTCACTTACTCGAGAATATTAGTTTGCATGTCAGCGCATATTTGTATTCGTTTCTCTGAAGTTGTTTCCTTATCAAGAGGGTCGTCAATATGCACGCATTCTAGATGTAATCTAGTAATAAAATATGGACGTGGAATTAGTTCATCTGAGAGAAAAAATGGAGCAGAAACAGATAGAGAGAGACAAAATGAACCTCAGTAAAAGTGACGATTAAAAGATCGATAAGCACTGAAAAATTACTGAAATTTCTCCAAATGTTCATTGACTCATGTCAGGTAGGTTCATTCTGTCAGAATATTCCCTTTTAGAGATTCACTTACTTTAAAATGTTGCACATGCCGCAAGTATGATTGACAAATATTGAAAATAAATTATCAAAGAAAAGAACGACGGTGAATACAACGGGAATAGTCAAATAAGCGTGAATCAGAATTAGGAAGTAGTACTCGTTTTGATCAACGAAATATTCAGTTTGATACAGAAATATTCGTGAGCGAGACTCATTCAGAGGTATCCATATGTCCATTAGCATTGGAATTGCCGGTATAGTGAGGAACAATGCGAGGAATCCAAAAATAGACACTACATTCAATTAATTTTTTGTAGAGTAAAATAAAAAAAGTACACGACATTTATATATTTTGAGATACGCAATCATGTTGTTTTTTGGAAGATTAGAAAGCAAATTATGATATGGTGCGAGTTCAATGAGTTTCATTTAGGGTGAACAGTCTAATTATGGAATATTCAAGGGTCTTCAGAGGTTCAGAGAATGGTTTGAAAATGAACTATTGTTTGAAAAAATATTTTCTAAAATACTGGTCGATTCCAAATTCAGTAGAGTTCAGAAGAATAAGAGAAAAAACACATTATGTAATGAGAAATAATCGGGCAAAATGAAAAATTAGGTTTAAGTCCAAAAAACCTATTACCGAACACTTTTGCCAAATATGGAATATTGTGCGCCCAATTACGGAACATTAGAACTTTGTGAGATAGTCAAAGGTGAGGGGCCCGAAGCAATAAAGATATTTTTGTAGAAAAATGTCAAGAAATTCAGATTATAATTGAAAATTGGAATTGTCATGCTAATTTTATTATGTAAAGAAACTCTTACTAGTGAACAAACGTAAAAATGAGTAATATCGATCACATGAACACATAACTCGACCTTCTTCGTATATGAATTTGTCAGAACAATTTAACAAAGAATAGAAACATAAATGTCATTATATTTTCAATTTATCAATTATTTATATACTTTTGACTGAGCCACTCTGGCACGGGCCAAACGAATACATCAGTGTTCCGTCGATTAGAAATGCCATGAAACCCAAATCCAAATAGCGGAACACCCTTATATTTGTAGAAATTAGAACTTTTGGATAAAATGAATGCAACAATATGAAAAAATGAAGCTTTTAGGATCAATATTAGTCTGGACTAACGACATTTGATGATTATTAACTCAAGTAATTTCTTTCGGCAAATTAGCGGTTATACTGTCAACTAGCCAATCACGAAACATTAAAACTTTGTAGAAAAATGTCAACAAGTTCAGATTATAATTGAAAATTGGAATTATCATGTTAATTTTATTACGCAAAGACACTCTTACTAGTGAACACGGAGAGAAATATTCAATAAAAATTACGTATCTTTTCCGTAATTCCGGAGCGAAATGTGGTTGATAGGAAATTTTACGGAACTGTCACGGAATTTTTTCGGAGCGTTCCGTAATTTTTATCTGAATCTCCTGTGAAAAATTACGATACCGTCACTTAAATTTTCTGAGTCGATTCCGTAATCGGCGAGTGAATTGTGAGTTCCGTAATTTTTACTAAACATTTCTTTCCGTGAACAAACGTGAAAATAAGTAATGTCGATCACATGAACACATAATTCGACCTTCTTCGTATATGAATTTGTCAGAACAATTTAACAAAGAATAGAAACATAAATATCATTATATTTTCAATTTATCAATTATTTATATACTTTAGACTGAGCCACTCTGGCACGGGCCAAACGAATACATCAGTGTTCCGTCGATTAGAAATGCCATGAAAACTCTACCCAAATGGCGAAACACCCCTATATTTGTAGAAATAAGAACTTTCGGATAAAATGAATGCAACAATATGAAAAAATGAAGCTTTTAGGATCAATATTAGTCCGGGCTAACGACATTTGATGATTATTAACCCAAGTAATTTCCTTCGGCACATTAGCGGTCACACTGTCACATCTAACTACTCACCTCTCGCAAAATGACAAAAAATGACAGCTGGCAGGGTTTAAAATTACGATACCGTCACTTAAATTTTCTGAGTCGATTCCGTAATCGGTGAGTGAATTGTGAGTTCCGTAATTTTTACTGAACATTTCTTTCCGTGAACAAACGTAAAAATAAGTAATGTCGATCACATGAACACATAACTCGACTTTCTTCGTATATGAATTTGTCAGAAAAATTTAACAAAGAATAGAAACATAAATGTCACTATATTTTCACTTTATCAATTATTTATATACTTTTGACTGAACCACTCTGGAACGGGCCAAACGAAAACATCAGTGTTCCGTCGATTAGAAATGCCATGAAAACCCAACCCAACTGGCGAAACACCCCTATATTTGTAGAAATAAGAACTTTCAGATAAAATGAATGCAACAATATGAAAAAATGAAGCTTTTAGGATCAATATTAGTCCGGGCTAACGACATTTGATGATTATTAACCCAAGTAATTTCCTTCGGCACATTAGCGGTCACACTGTCACATCTAACTACTCACCTCTCGCAAAATGACAAAAAATGACAGCTGGCAGGGTTTAAAATTACGATACCGTCACTTAAATTTTCTGAGTCGATTCCGTAATCGGTGAGTGAATTGTGAGTTCCGTAATTTTTACTGAACATTTCTTTCCGTGAACAAACGTAAAAATAAGTAATGTCGATCACATGAACACATAATTCGACCTTCTTCGTATATGAATTTGTCAGAAAAATTTAACAAAGAATAGAAACATAAATGTCACTATATTTTCACTTTATCAATTATTTATATACTTTTGACTGAACCACTCTGGAACGGGCCAAACGAAAACATCAGTGTTCCGTCGATTAGAAATGCCATGAAAACCCAACCCAAATGGCGAAACACCCCTATATTTGTAGAAATAAGAACTTTCGGATAAAATGAATGCAACAATATGAAAAAATGAAGCTTTTAGGATCAATATTAGTCCGGGCTAACGACATTTGATGATTATTAACCCAAGTAATTTCCTTCGGCACATTAGCGGTCACACTGTCACATCTAACTACTCACCTCTCGCAAAATGGCAAAAAATGACAGCTGGCATTGTTTATATCCATTATTGAGCGGAAAACAGGAGATAGACCACCAAATATATTCTCATATTATGGAAGCAAATATCCACTTGATTAAAAAAAATCGATTCGATAGATAGGCAAGTATTCCAGAAATCTGGCAAAATATTCGAATGTTCCGATAATTGGAGGGAGGAGAGGGTCCGCAATTGACTTGTTCACCCTATAATGTATATAAATATCATAATTACTCCCGTACTTGTATAAAGATTACTAATTTTTCTCCCGCGCTCGGAAAATTCTGCCAATAATTGGATATCCTCCTCAACTTTTAAATTTTTCCAATCCCTTTCTATGGACAGTAGCAATTCTCTCATCTGAAAATTTCACTCACATAATAATCAATAAGTCACTCAATTAAATGCATCACAATTACACTATTATCGTCAATTGCCCAAGTGAAGAACTTTATGTACGCTGCAGCATAGACGCAAAACATTGGAATAGACTCCATCACTACATCTATGTCGTCCAATGATTCCACAAACTTAATCATCTGGAATGATAAAAATTATGAAATTCTCTATAATAATTCCTCCCAATAGCGATAATGTAGTATAATATAATGGTGATAATCCTTTGATACCGTTGGTACACATATACTGGTGACGAGAAAAATTGTCAGGCACTTGAAAAACCTATTTCTCCCAGCAGACTGGAACGGCCACTGTCCCATCATTCTCATACCCCACCTGGTAGGCCTGTAATATGTACTGTCGAGTATGCTCTTCATTTTCACTCTGAATAAGAACCAACCTCAACACGTTAGTCAAATCGCAAAATCATTTAGTACTTCTAGTGAGGCGTCTAGTCTGCTTCATTGCCTATTCCCTTGGACGAATTAATAATGATCATCTCTCTACTCGTTTATACGGAAACGAGGTGCATGCGAGGTTTTAATGACTTTCACCATATCAATTTGGTTATTCAATTATTGGTGAGAGTGAAAACTAGCGTTAAATGTTATTGCGATATGTGGTGAGTCTACGAGGCCTATAACATATTCTTTTTGCCATTAGACAACGAGAAAATTGGTGGTTCATTGACAATTCAAGTCTTGAAAATAGTTTGATAAAGTAGCATGCGGAATAGGGGACAATTACTATGATAGCCCCCCGCTCTGTGGGAGTCGTGCAAATTATCTAGTGGAAATACGGGGATGAGAACTTGGAGAGGTACGAAGAAATCGAAGGGCTCAGCAGTTGAATAATTTTCCGGATAGGGTAAACAGACCAATAGCTTGACTCGGACCAATACCTGAACGATTTCACCGTTTATTGAATATTCTATAAATAATAGGACGAAAACTGTGCGGATTATTATCATTATCAATAATAACACGTATGTATAATCATGTGATGGATTTTTTTTTCGAAACATCAACATTACAGCGACCAAAAAAATATTCAAGAGTTACAGTGCTGGGTGACGTGGCGCTGCAATTTGCTAAGCATCAGTGACAGAGTGTCGTGGAGAGAAAAAAAAAAGTTCTCTTTTAAAAGTGTCATATGGGGGAAATAGCACAATATTTTCAGAAGGAGAATCACAAGTATTCAATAAAAATTACGTATCTTTTCCGTAATTCCGGAGCGAAACGTGATTGTAGGAAATTTTACCGAACTGTCACGGAATTTTTCCAGAGCGTTTCGTAATTTTTATTTTAATCTCCTGTGAAAAAATTAATTTTCTGAGTCGATTCCGTAATCGGTGAGCGAATTGTGAGTTTTGTCATTTTTACTGAACATTTCTCTCCGTGTATTGAACAGTTTGTGATATATGACGAAATATGGGAATAAATAGGGACAATGGCGGACCCGATCGATTTTGCCCTGTATAATCACGAAAAACTTGATTGTTGCCTGTTTTTACCTGCAAAATGCTTTTAGCTTTTTTCTTTAAATGTTCATTACACTCCAAAGAATAAAGTTAAGCATCCGTTTTACATTATTCGCAATAGACCATGCATAAATGAATTTTAAATTTCATAAATTTTTCCGTGTTTCTAGAGTGGAGTAAAATTTATGAAGTTCCAAATTCGTTTATTCATGATCTATTGCAAATAAAGTAAACCGGATGCTTAACTTTATTCTTCGGACTGTAACGAACATTTAAAAAAACTTAAAATTGTATGAAAACTACGGCGCAAGGAGCATTTTGACGGAAAAAACAGGAAAAAATGAAGTTTTTCGTGGTTATACGGGGCAAAATCGATCGGGTCCGTAATTTTCCCTAGTTATTCCCATATTCCGTCATATATCACAGACTGTTCAATGGGTCCCAAGGTCCAGTAAAATTTTAACTGGGCCTTGGGACCCAGTTTTAAATTTCACCGACGTATCCCCTTAAGAATCAATTTGCCTTGTATTTCATCGCGTTCAATAAAACAAAATTCACATGTTTGTGTAAACTGGATGAAAATTCTATATTTCTCCAGACCGTCCATGTATTGGCCATAAATCGCCCTAGCGTCCAGTTATTGGGGATTTCAACGCACGGAGAGAAATATTCAATAAAAATTACGTATCTTTTCCGTAATTCCGGAGCGAAATGTGGTTGTAGGAAATTTTACGGAACTGTCACGAAATTTTCCCGGAGCGTTCCGTAATCGGTGAGTGAATTGTGAGTTCCGTAATTTTTACTGAACATTTCTCTCCGTGCGATATTCCACTTTTCCCTCATTTAATTATTCTCTTCTTCATTTTTTTCGCTTCAAATTATTGTTTTTTTCCTAATGCATACATTCTTTCGAATGTTGCATGTTGAATGCATTTTCGAATGTTGAAATTTCAGGTCTGGAACTCAGTTTTATTCATTCAGCTACTTCATCGAGTCTAAATCCTCTAATGAAGCTAAACATTTCCTTAACCATCCAGCGGTTGCCGTTTATCCTACATATGTTGTGCAAATTAGGGGTTTTTTATTCCTTAATCATTGTGTTGACAATATTATTGTTCTCGTGTATGCCGTTGTCTTCTGTCAGAGTGAAATACAAAAAGACTGAAGAACATTTCGAATAACGGTACTAAAGGTGAATATCCACAAAATTTTCCGACATGTGCCATCCGCCATTCCTGTTTCATTGTTACAAAATTATATATTTTTCGCCTTCATATGGTGTAATCGTATCATTGGACTGATAACAAAAGAGTGAAGAAGGACATGGTCACTCTCATGGCCTAAGATAAATAGACAAACCAATAACGAATTAATGATTGAGTAACGGTAATAGTTGACAAAGAAGAGGACAGAATGACAGAAATGGACCTTTCTTGAAATTACAGTAGAGGCTTCGTATAAGATACGTCTCTATAAGATACCTTGCGCTCCGAGCGCTCGAGGCCTACCGCCGCTCTCGGCTCTTCTATCGACTCCCGAATATTTACGTTCTATCGACTCCCGGTCATTTTTCAACGGGAAGAGAGTACACTGATAGAACGGATTAGTTATTGTTAACGAATGGATTTTGGTTGGAGGTTGGGGTCTATTCGGTCTCACCAAATGTTCATTCGTTATAGTTAGCGAATGTATATTTGAGGAGCCTTGTTTGACTTGACTTTCGCCATTCAAGTGAACCCTTCGTTAACTATTAACAAATAGTTCTAGTGACTAAAATTCTAAGAGAATTCGAATTTAGAGAGAAAAAATTTCCGCTTCGCCCAGCCGGGAATCGAACCCGGGTCTCCCAGATACGCGCCGGGCACTCTTACCGACTAAGCTACCGGGAACCACAGAAATTCACTCTCAAATTCACCTCAAACACCGCCTAACCTCCTTTAGGCATTGAAGAATTCTAAGAGAATTCGAATTTAGAGAGAAAAAATTTCCGCTTCGCCCAGCCGGGAATCGAACCCGGGAATTACGCTGACTACAGAAGTCACTAGAACTATTAACAAATATTCATTTGGTCATATTCAACTCTATCATTCGTTAATAGTTAACGAATCTCGTTTGGAATAAATGAATCGTTCTATCAGTGTGGTTATAAGAATCAAACGGTGTTAAGGGTCAAACGGGAGCGACGAACGAAGTGATCATGAGGGTCTAATGACCTTACGGGGGGTCACACCACTTTTTTCAAGTAATGAAAATATACATCTATTTTTTTTTCGCTTTTCCCATCGAAAAATCGTAATTTTTCGTCTGTGATTGTTCTCGAGTCCACCAACAATGCCCCAACGTCAGCGGCCATTCTATCACGCGGGGTTATGTTTAGAGAGAAAAGGGAACGCGGGCGATACAAATTCAAAACATTAAACACATATAAATTGATTAGTTATCGATATTCATTCAGTAGAAATGAAAATTTCATTGAATTCGGGTGCAACGAGCGAGGTATAGCCCTATGACATAAAATAGTATACCCCTGGCTATAAATAGGACCCCTGGGCCCTATGACATAAAATAGTATACGAAACTCGTGCGTAATGGTGTTTTTTGACTCGTGGGATTGTAAAACTCGGCTTCGGCTCGTTTTACAACTTCCCACGAGCCAAAAAACCCATTACGCACTTGTTGCGTAATATACTATTTCCACACAATAGTTCATTTTGAAATCAGAAGTCTGGACCTCCGAAGAGCCTCGAGTGTTCCACAATTGGCCCGATCGCCCGATCACCCTATTCAAATTTTCCCGCAAAACAAAAATCCCCAGAATATTCTAGGCGGCCCTCGCAATTTACAAACACCAAAACTCCCCAGCAACCCCCCTCCGCCCTACCCCCGACGCAGTATGCTCGCACAATTCAATAATGGCAAATGGCGGGTGAAATAATAACAGATGATTGAACTCCCTATCTACCTCCCACTACCGCAATCGTCCAATCACTCTCTCCACACAACTCAACGCGCATTTATCTGTCACGACTAGAGTAGGAGAACCCCGCCGTCAGTGGTGTGTGTAAATCTACTCCTTCCAGACGTTTCAAAACGACTCGACTAAATCTCTCCTCCCCTGTCCAAATAAATAAATCACCGTTGAGTACAAAAAATTGAATTTCATCAGTGAACAGTAAAAAAAAATCGCCAGTTTTCGGGAATTTCGTGTGAGGTTAAGTCCAGGTGGACTCGTCTCGTCTGATCTCCAGTTAGCCAATCTCAATAACAACAATAACAACGAAACGAAAATAAATAGTTGAAAAAAGTGACTCGACTCGGACGATATTTCGTTTCAATTCAATTTTTTTTTTCAGTGGCTTTTTTATTATTTTTAGTTATTCGGCGAGAATCATGCGATGATGTTCCTTGTGTAACAGAGTAAGATTTCTCTTGGGTTGTTGTTGTTATTCGTCACTGGTCATATCTCTGCTATAAAAAGGAAAGTGCAAAATTTCTCTTGGGTGAAGTGGGGAGCAAGGATTTGGGGTTATTTTTTGGGTTATTTTTGGAAGAACATGTTTGGGTGGAAAAGTACCAGCTACTTTGGACTTTTGGTTGTGTTTGCGGTTGTTATAGGCAAGTACACACACTTTTTATTATTCTTTTATTGTCATGATAATTCACATCTTATCGCAGAGGTGAATCAATTGCAATTGCGTGCGATGATGAATTGATAGTGGATCATTTGATAAAATAGATAATTCTGAGGCTAAACAGCTGTGTTGTCTTGTATAGTTTATTTATGCTTTTGACACTATGACATTTATGCATCACCCGCGAGAGGATTAGGTTTTTTGATAAAAATTTTCGCTGGATAGAGGGGCAGCAACAATTTACACGTCCTCAGGCGCTGAACAATTGGCTGCTTGTCTCCCCTTTTGGCTGTCGTTAAACCCCACTCTTCTCTCTCGCGCTCTCTCTCTCTCTTTCAGCATATCTTCAGGCGCGTTCATGGACAATCGTCCACTTCCGGTTCTCATCACTCAACTTAAATCAACTCTTTCTATGCCCATCATTTAGTTTCATTCTCGAGAGATTCAGAAAGAGGGAACCATTTTGGACTGTTGGAAAATGCTTTCATTGTTCCTTTTTCTGAGAAGAATGAATTTTAAAAAGCGAAAGAACAAGTCGAGGATGAGCCCCCAGAGGCGAAAATAATCGATAAAATGACGATGTGTGACTTTTTGAAAAAAAGATTTTTGGATCAATTTGGATGTATTTTGCTCTATACGAGGATGTATTGAATTGATGGACACAAAATTTTGTACACAAGTGTGACTCAATGATAGTAACTAGTAGCCAGAATCTCAGATGTTTATTCCAAGTTTTAAGCGGATTATGGAACGTCACGTTAACTCTCAACTGAAAAAATTAGCAAAACGCGAATATCTCGAAAACTTTGTATGAATGGTATTCATACTTTGATTGGTCTTGATAGGGGGCGGCAAGACGAGTATTTTGAAAAAAAAATCAAATTAATCGGAGCAGGAGATTGGCAGATATTGAAGAAAACAGTTTGTCACAAAAAATTGAATATCTTCTAAACCACTTGTCCGATTTCGCCTACCCACAATCCCATCCTGTAATATCATAAGAGCTACAATCTCGCCAAATTTCGAAATCCTATCTAAATTTTTTGGGGAGTTATCGTGCACAGAACGATTTTCTCATAAAAACGAAAAATGCTAATTATTACCAAACTGTCCCTAGTTACATAGCAATATTGCGATTTGATAGATATTATTACAATGAATATTTTGACGTCAAAAAATTCAACATAATACTATATATATATGACCGGGATTTGAACCCGGGACCTTCCGATTATGCATCGGGTCAGCTATCCATTTTTTTTCAGTGAAAATTTTCTGCCGGAATAATTCCGGGAACCGGAATAATTCCGGTTCCCCTCCTGCCTCATCCAAATCCCATCCAATAATTTCCTATGACGTCACAAAGATGTGGAACGCTATATAAATTATGAAGCTGAAACTAGCTGAAACTAGCTGAAACTAGCTGAAACTAGCTGAAAAGATTCGATAGCAGAAGATTTGTGTTCGGCGAATCTAGGGGTGCACAAATGTTTTTAAGGGGAGATTACTATGAGTTTTAAAAGTCATGGGTTATTGGAGTGAGACTTTTCATACGTTGAAGATCGATCATATAGATCTGAAAACGAATAATTAGTGCAAAAAAAATTTTTTTTCATTGTTCTTTTGCCCGAAAACGCTGAAAATGCCAAAAACAGTCCAGGGCCTCTAATTTGTGAGCTACGAAGGATTTTTTTTTTTCAAAATTTTCGGAAAAATATGTGGAATAACTATTACAAGCTATTTTTTTTAAATTCGCCTCTTACATGGCCAAATTTGCTTTTTTGTATTTTTTTACACAAATAGTGAATTGTTTTATATGAAAAAAACCGAAATCAGCTGTGTAGGAGTCGAATTCCAAAAAACTGGCTGGTAATTGTTGTTCCACACATTTTCCGAAAATTAAAAAAATAATTCTTTTGTAGCTGAAAAATCGGAGATCCTGGACTGTTTTTAGCATTTTAAGCGTTTTCGGGCAAACGAACAATAAAAAAAATTTTTTGGCACTAATTATTCGTTTTCAGATCTATATAATCGATCTTCAACGTATGAAAAGTCTCACTCCAATAACTCACGACTTTTAAAACTCATAGTAGTCTCCCCTTAAGTAATGTACAAACTATTTCGCACTCGAAAAATATTTGTACATATGATTATTTGGCTTACTTACACTTTAATATCCCTTGAATTGAATTTTCTGCTGACGAATATTCTGCTAGTTTCAGCTTCATATGTAAATTCCCTTCTTTAATGTAAAAAGAAGCATATTTTTTATTTTCCACATGATCCTGCATTCAGTTACGTAGTTTTCGAGATATTGAGATAAGAAGATTTTTAAGAAATTGCTGTATCTCGGAAACTACTTGAACGATTGCGCTGAAATTGCGCCTTGAAGTGCTCCAAAGTAATACCAATTATGTGCCGAAATTTCATATTTTTAGCTTCAACTTTAGTCATTTTTCTGTGAAGATTTACAAAAATTTTCTGAAAAATTCGCACGGACATCCGAACATACCCATTTTCTAATAAAAATAATATCCCCACGTTTCATGACATTCTAGGTCATTTCAAAATCAACGATTACAAAGCTTCCATTCGGGAACAAAAAATGCATGAGTATTTAATATTATGGAACTTTGAACTGTGCTCTGATCACAACAACAAGTCCTTTTGATCATCGAGTCATCGGTGGGAACAATGGATTTGTGTGTCTGCTTGCGCTTGGAAATAATCGATATGCGAGAATCTATAATTAATGCTCCAGATTTGAGATTTGTGCGCACTGGTGATTGCCATTGACGTTAAGAAACGCGCAAATCTCAAAGTTTTGAATGAAATTAAAAGTATACGTTCACTCCTTAGATATTGTTTAGAGTTTGATCTTTTCAAGGGAATTTTCACTCACTTCTCGTTATTGATTTTCGTTTTTCACTGCAGATTGCTATGGAAAAGTGGGAAAACCGTGTCACATTGACACGGTGGGTTCACCGGACACCTGTGGTGAGAACGAGAGGTGTGTGCAAAGTACAACACTGAATAGTACAGCAAAATGCGAGTGTCTAAGAGGCTTCAACGTAGTATCTGGTGAATGCGTTGTTATTTCAACAACAGCTGCCGCCTCTACAGACTCTACAGATCACATAAATGAGCCCGAATCTTCAGGTGAAGCTTCCAAATAATTCAATCTTAATTTATGTAAGGTAGAGTGGAACAAAATGAAACACTCCCAAAAGAACTTGACGCAATTCACGAAAAAAAAAATTTTATCAACTATTTTTTTTATTATTGGGAGTACTGATGAGAATAATAATTTTCCATTCAGTAGAATGGAAAATTATTGAGAAGTTTTGACGGGAGAAGATTTAGTCAATGGAATAATTGAAAAGAAAATGAAACAGCAAAATCCAAAGTCCAGAAGAAGGCCCAGGGGGTGACCCAGAGGGGGAAGAAGGAAAATGTGATGCTGAATTTCAATCGAATGAAAAAAGAAAAGTGTAATCGCCCTAATCTAATCAATTGAATTATAGATGAAATATTTCATATTATTTGAAAAGAAAACTGGATAAAATTAATGAATATTATTAATATTGTCGTCTCGATATAAGAAATATATGAAAAACCTTCGGGAGTTTCGAATGAGGAGAGAACATAGACTCAGCGATGACGAGGTCTTGGTTTGTCTGCTGGAGAGTCAGGGGACAAGCTGACTAGTGGACGTTGAGATCGAGATCTAACAGGGGAGTGGGATTCATCTGCAGAGGTAATAGATAGTCGCTACGCTATATGTATAGAGGTTTCGAATATCAATGATTTTTTTCGCACCACATGTTCTTTTCTACCGAATAGAAAATTATTATTCTCATCAGTACTCACAATAATAAAAAAAGTTAATAAACAAAAGTTGACAGAAAGAATTTTTTTGCTTGAATTGCGTCAAATAGCCGTTTTTCGGCTGTTTCATTCTGCCCACTCGCCCCTATCAATTGTGTGGAGATGTGTCAAGGTAATTTCTTCAAAAACATGGCTTAATATATTTTTTTGCAGGCAGTTCTGTAGCAGTTGGATTACTAGTCCCAACATTTCTACTTCTCTTTGGTGGCCTTGGATTCTGTATTATCAGACGGTACAGATTACTCCCCTGTCGTCGAAATCTATATGGAAATGTGTTGGTAACACGAGAGGAGGACGACGACGATGATCCGCCAATCGCCTAAGAAAATAATTACAATGAAAAATCCTAAAGAACAGATAAAGAAAAGACTGAGAAATTTTCACATTGAACAAAAAAGTCTCCATTGTCATCGAGAATTGAAGTAAAACAATGATATTTTAATTTTTTAATCTTAAACAGTTAATTCAAGGGAATAGAAAGTTCAGCCATTTTCGCATTCCCTTGGTTATCAAAATTACTGTTTTTTTAAATTCTTGTTTTTCAACTCGGGAGAAGGATACCTCTGTTTATTTGTTAGATGTTGAGAAAAAAACAGTAATGACGAGGCCAAATGTGTAAAGAAGCGATTAAACGCTTAAATACATATATTTATATCTATACATGATATTACACGAAATGAAAAAAACGAATCGAGTGATTACAGATAAATATAAGATACATTTAAGGCGACACTACTATGAGTTTTTAAATTCGCGGGCTATTGGAGTGAGATTTATCATGCATTGAAGATCGATTATATATGTCTAAAAATGAATAATTAGTGCAAAAAAATTAATTGTTTGTTGTTCATATGTCCCGCAGACGCCTGAAGTGTTCAGAATAGTCCAGGGATTCTAATTTTTGAGTTTCCGAGGTTTTTTGACCTGGATACGTCTATGGTTTCAATATGGGGGGTCATTTTAGGAAACGGTCCTTATGTGCAGCGCCATCTATTGGAATTCTAGAAAATTCTAGACATTTCGAGGTAATTCGAGAAGTTTTCAGAAATTTCGAGGAAATTCAGGGAGTTTCTAGAAAATTCACGGGAATTCAAGGACTTTCTAAGAAATTCGAAAAAGACAGAAATTGATTACATTACTTGATGAGCGGAATAGAGGCTTTAAAAATCTTTACACTGGATTTTTTAAAAGTTGATTAAGCGTTTATGAGGCAAACGAACAATAAGCAATTAATTTTCTGGTACTAATTATTCGTTTTAAGACATATACAATCGATCTTTAATGTATGAAAAATCTCACTCCACTGGCCCGCAACTTTTAGAACTCATAGTAGTCTCTCCTTAATAAATGCAAACATCACCCATTATTTCTGCATAATTGTAATTTTAGGCTTTAACGGTCACTAAATTCGCGGTTCAATGAGTTTAGCTGTGGTTCAGTAAAGGAAACGGATATGTATTTTTTGCGATTTAAAAAAATAAGAGCAGGGATTATTTGGAGAGTTTTTACTCTTCCTCTGAACCATAAAATTCAATCGAATAGTACTAATATCTAATACTGATGGACGAAATATCGGAAGACAATTATTGATTTTAAAATAATGTTCATTTGGAAGGATTTTCTTATTTATCACGAACGATTATTTTCAAATCAATAATTCTCATCTCTGGGAATATGATAAATTTTTCTTCATAAACCAATGATAAATTATGAATTAAGAACTGCATTTTTCAGTACAGACACATCTTCAACAAAATCTGGAAAAAAAATGCATTAATTTTTGTAAATAGATAGATAAATGGCTCAATTCTAGAGTAATTGAATGCATTTCTTGCCAGTTTGGTTACTGTTATAACAAATTACAACTATCATTAGTAGTTTTATCTTGTATTTTAACTTTTATCATAGAGACACAAGTAATTGTTAATTTTTACCATAAATTCACGTAAATTTATTAATTATAATATATATATATATGTATATCATTGTATAATACATAAACACTATTCTTGTACTCTATTATTTTTTGTACAGAAAACGCAAATGAGAGGATGAGCACATTGATGGAATAAATTGATTCAAGAATAGGGACAACTTTGTGACAGCTTTAAGTCGATCTTAATGCATCTTTTATGTTTAATCTAAGGAATAATTTTGTTCATTATGATCTCCTTAAGGATATCCAAGTACCTTTTACAGTGGTGGAGACTACACTATAAATTCAACCATTTTTAATCATCAAATTTTTTAATTAAATTGCATGGGAAAATTTTGAAAAAATTCATGACTATTCAGCGTCATTAAAATTACATCTTGGGCATAATTATTATTTTTTTAAACATTCGTTGTTTATGAACAAATAATGGAAATTTTTTAAACTTTCAGAAGCCTTATTTCTAAGGCATTTCATTGATTTCTGGTAGAACTGAGAGTAAAAGTAAATTTGTTACGATTACGAATAAATCGTTTTTGTGGTGGGAAATTGATTGTTTATAAATTATTCACAGAAAATGCTCATAATTTTCCAAATTTGCAATTTTTAAATTATTTCATCACTCTTTCTCCAACAGTAAACTAATTTTTTTTTTCAGATTTTTAAAATGTTTTCTAAAGGTTCAATATTGACATTCAAATTCAGAGCTCCAAAGTTTGAATAATAAAATTATTGTAAATGTCCGGAAACTTGGGATCAAATTGCGCTCACACGAAAGCTCTGATGTTCGATTACAAAAATTGAAAAGCATTTCACTGGAGAAAAAATAGCCAAAGTACTTGGATATCCTTAAATCAATGAAATTCACAGCAGAATCGAGGGTCTAATTTGACATGTATTTTCTTCCCAAACCACTACCACTGTGATTTAAACAATAACCAGGCAAATAAATATTGTTTGACGCTTTTATTTTCACGAAATAAAATGTTGAATAATAAATTATCCATTCGAAAAATATTGGAAGCATCACTCATTCACATCACTGACTCATAATCAAACCGCCCGATTTATGCATTCCATTTGAATTTCGTCGGTAAAATAGACATTATTTAATAGCCATCTGTTATCCATAGAGGAATCACTGATACATTGTGGGCATTCATGGGTGGTGGACGTCACAGTCGGAAAAATGGCGGCGTGGAGTGGTCTCCTGCGTTCAACTGCGTCAATTTTTAATAGAAATAAAAATCTAGTGGTGAACAACTTGGTGAAAAATGGTAAAAGCATTCATTTTCTGAACTTTCATCAATCTCCGAGTGCGATTGATCAATTGAATAATCAGCAGAAATGAATGAGTTTGTTTGTTACGCAACGGTGTCCATACACATGGACTTCAATTCTATTCGTCGCATCAAAACAACGTGATTTTTTAAAAATAAAACAAATGAAACGAGAATCTATTCGAAAGCAAATTTCTAATTTATTAGCAACAATTACTATGCTCATTTATAGGAAAAATGCCATTGTCCACTTATTTTTGGGTCCGAATGGAAGCTTTGTAATCACTCAAATTTGAGTTTCCAATTTTTTGTGTTAGGGTAACTAAATATGGTTTAAAAAGTCCGAATATGCGATTTTTAGATGGCGTCTGTATGTAGGGGAAGTTGGGGTAAAACGAACACTTGACTTTTTTTTTAATGTTAATGAGGGGTTGAAATGTTTTAAAATTTAATCTTTTTTTTTCAATACAAAGAACAAGTCTTCCCTTTGTGACGAGCCTAAACTCAGCTCAATTGATAAGTTGTTTCTGAGTTATGGATAATTTTAAAAAACTCTAAAGTGTCCATTTTACCCCATCCTCCCCTATGTATGTATATATGTATGTAGTCTTTTTTAAAAAAAAATTTCTCGAATTTTTCTTATAAGTGATCAATTGAACTTCATGAATATAGACTTTAATACGCTCTATTCATTGACACCAATTGAAATTCAATTTTTTATACAGATTCGAAAAAATTGATATTTTTCCAAAAATCGATTTTTCAACGATTACTCAAAAAATTCTCATTAAAATGGAATTAGTCATGGCTCAAAAAATTGATAACAATACCCTCTTGATTCTATCAGAATATGATGGGGGTCGCAGGATTCATTGTTAAGGTACAGCATATTGTTTATGCGATTTGAAAGAGAAAATCGGTTTTTTCATCACTACTGAAAGAATCATCAGTAATAGCAATTAAATCAGGGCTTTAAAAGTATATTTCAATGTCTTCTTAATCAAGTTGAAAAATGGTGAGAACAATCAATGACATGACAAAATAGAAGAAGAGAATAGTAAAATAAGAATTGAAAAAACGAACTCATTCGGAAGCAAATTTCTAATTTATTAGCAATAATTACTGCTCATTTATAAAAAAAAGTGCCACTGTCCACTTGTTTTTTATTTCAAAACAGAAAGTGCCACAAAATTTCTATAAATCATTTGCCAACATTTTGTGACTCATTCAATTCCACTCTAAATTAACTACTTCAATGTTTTATTTTATTATTATTTTTCATTTAACCAAGGGACAATCACGAGATACATGTCTGGACACGACCGAACGATGCAAATTGTCCCATCTCGTTGGATGTGGGACAAAACAAAGGATTCGTTCCACCTGTATTTCATGGTAGCTGCTATTCCAATTACTGTGGTAATTTTTTGTGTCAACATTTTCATTGGACCTGCGACCCTCTCTGCAATCCCTGAGGGATACGTTCCCAAGGAATGGGAATATTACAGGGTAAAGGTTTTTCAATTTTCTCACCCAACTTTGACATTCAATTGCACTTTAATCAATTCATTCTATTGAATTCAATTTGCAGAGTCCAATCACCAGATTTCTCCAACGCTATGTCTTCACGACAGATCAAAAGGAGTACGAGAAGTACTGTCACTTTATCTGGACTGAACAAGAAGTCATGAAATGTCGTGAGCTTGAGAATAAAGTCATGAATTTGGTTAAAGACCGCAAGGACTACCAGGTTTACTACTATATTCCTTACACGAGTGCTGACTACATGCGTAGAATGGCTCAAAAGGAGAAAGACCAGGTAGAACTCTACAGTGGTAACTAAACGGGTTCAACAAATACCATAATTAATCAACAAAATTAAGTGGAGATGAACCGAAACTGGAAAAACATCGTCATTGGGCTGTTATAATCCAGTTAATGATAGCTTCATTTATAGTGGTGAATATTCATTGTACAGTTATTAAAATAAATGATTAATCGTAAACAAAAATTACCAAAAATGTGTTGACAGGCTTCTCTTACAACCCATCAAAATGCTCCAACTTATTTCACTCTAACAGACGCCTTGAGCTCAATGTTACTAAATTTTCAAGATTTATTGTTCTGTATTAATTAAACAAACATCATTAAATATCTTAGAAACAAGTGGTTTTCCAAACAAGGTCGAAAACAGAAAATAGTAATTAGGTGTAGTAATTAGCAATTAGATGTTTGATCTCGAAAACGAAACCGACCCCATCTTATAGATATTGTTGCGTATCCCCCTTCGAATCCCTTTCTATTGTCAATGATCTGGACATCGAGAGAAGCCCCTTGGAACGACAGTGATTTTATCAACATCGAGATTCGATCTTATCTTTGGGAGATCGATCTCAAGACTTCTTCATCAAATAAAAAAATTAAATAAATAATCCGCCCCAACCATTTTATTTGTTATGTACTGTCTTCTTTCATTCAATACAACAATATTTCAATGCTGATTTCAAATTCCTTTTGAGAAATCTTTCTAGCACATCTAGTTTTCGAGAAAAAAAATTGAAATATTGAAAAATGGATAAAATAAACAATTTGAAAGATTTATAAAAAAGTGAGTTTGGACGTAGTTTTTCCCAGAAAAAACTATGAACTCATAAAAATGCGATTTGTTTAGTAGAGTCGATTTTATTCCAATCGATGGAGTCAAAACGAGTGAAGAAATTCCTGAAAAAATCCCAGCGATCGGTCGACAATCATTACATTTGTCATATTTTGTAATATTATTAGAATGCGCACCGTTCTATTACTATGCTTCAATTGAAATTTGAAAATAATATAATTCACAACTTAAGTTTTATATTAACTATTCTTAGAGTAAATAATTCTAATTTTCCTAAAAGGATTTTTCGATTAGACATGTAATGGTCAAACTTCTGACACAATTACTAGTTGATAGATTATTTGGGAATTTGAATATTCTTGTTACAAATAGGATGTTAATTTCTATTAATGATGGCCGGGGTCGGGTGGTGTCTGAAATTATTAAACTCGCGTTGTTTTTTCTGATTGAATTTAATATAATATGAGGATATTTACACTATTTACAATAGTTGAGTTTCCGTTATTTTATTGAGCTTCGATTATTTCGTGGACTGTATGTTTATTTCAGATGATAACGTTCGGTAATAGTTGTTGATTTCCATGCTGACTTTCTGCGTGATTTTGATGATAACGAACGACGTGGGTTCAGTTACGAGTACGGTTTATTACTCTTTTCAGATTTGATGGCGTTCGCCAGTCGGCCCCTCGGTCAAGTTCGGAATTCCGGAATTTTCACGATCTTGAATGACCGACCATATTTGTTAGTTTTGGCTAATTCGAATCGATTCTTATAGAAATGTGGGTCGGATTTCTAACAATTCTATTGATGATTAACTTGGTAATTCAAAATTGTTGGGTAATATTATCAATTAACATAAGCTAAATTTGACTTATTTTGAAACTGATGATTGTTCTAATCCCTGAAAAGTTCTAATTTCATGATTTTTCTTGTAAAATTAAATGATTTTCCGAAGTTGGTTGTACACACTTTGATGCGTATCAATTCCAAATCTATCTACACACGTGTGTCAACCTCGACATGACTTAACATGAAGTTTGAAGATGCCTTTCCTGCAAGGTAACCGGTTAATTGCTCTTATGAGAAGGCACCCTCAATTGTGGAGAGGTTTAGTTGCTGAAATAAAGTCGGAAAATAAAGAGATTACCGCACAAGGCTAACACACGTGTGTAGATATATTTGTGGTTGGCATGCATCAAAGTGTGCGCAACGGACTTCCGGTTATTTGTGGGCGTCCACGTGAAAAGGCCCCACTTTGAAGGGCCCACTTTGACTTGATCAGATTTCTCACATTTTGAGCCCAAAATCAACCCGATAGAATGAAAACTGACGTCAGTATAGACGATCAAAATAGTATATTTCGTAACGAGTGCAAAAAAGTGTTATTTGGCGAGTGGGAGGTTTATATCACGAGCCGAAGGCGAGTGATATAATCCCACGAGCTAAAAAACATTTTTTCACGAGTTACGAACAATATTTTTCATCACAATGTGGCGGAAATTGGACTTTTAGGCACGCGGAGCGTGCCGAAAAGTTCACTTTTCGTCACAGCGTGATGAAAAAACAATTTAACATTGGTTTAAATGGGAGATGTGGAGAGAAAAACGTGAATATCTCGGAAACTAGATGCGACAAAGTGGGCCCTTTTCACGTGAACGTACACATTTAATTTTACAACAAAAACCATGAAATTTGGACTTTTTCCAGATTTTTTTCCCTCACTTCGACTCAACTAATTGGGATGAACCGAAACGCACTGAACAAATTGCATTCTCATTAATTCATTGTTTTTTTTCTAGGAAAAACTACGGCCAAATTGATTTTTCAATAATTTTTAAAAATTGCCCGTTTCAGCCACTTTCAACACTTCCACATTTCTCTTTCACGAAAACTCGACTTGCCAGAAATATTATCCAAAAGAAATTTAAAGTCAGTATCAAAATATCTATAAAATGCGGTCACTTTCGTTTTAGAATTCAACTACGTCCGAATTTTGTCGAACCGTGCTGTCAACAATTACTGATTCCTACCATCATCCATCTCGTGGGAACATAAATTAAGAAAAACAATAATAATAATCAACACTTACATTCTTGTCTTGACGATTCTCCCCCAAATGACAGGATTTCCTATATTTGTCCGATGACGTGATCGTCCTCCCCCCCCCCCCCCCCCTTCTCTTTCAATCCAAGGAACATGTTGGAGGGGCCCACTAGGCCCTGAAGAACCAGTGGAAGTCCCCCACTCTCACCGCTCAACTAGACCGGTTTAAACTCAGCCTGCGGTTTTATCCAGTCTCGAGTCTCGCGTCGTTCGTTACGGACCCTAACAACCACCAAAAACGGCAGGTGGTCAGCATCATGTGTTATTGTGGATGAAAAAAAAAACACGTTACAATTTTTTTTCGCGAAAATTGGCAAAACTAAAAAATAATCAAGACTTAAGCAGGACCTAAATTTGGAGACGGGAAATTTCGAACAATTTTTTTTCTTTTTTGGGGAGGGAAGGGACCACACGTATTACACAATGCGCAATGATGACGTCACTGCACCAGTTGGTCGAATTGCGGAGAGAATCAAGTAGAACCAGTGAACAGTAGATTTCTACAATGTTCCGGGGGGTAAAATAAGAAAAATACAATGTGGACGTGTCGAAATCACCTGCGTGCGAAGAAAAAGCGGAAGATCGGTAATGGTGAACAACAGTGTGAGAATGTGAATGAATTTTCGTGATTTTTTTTTCATTATTATTCTCGAGGAGAACCTTTTTGTTGATCTAATCGTTTGAACCGGACGCCATTTTGTTCCCTTGGATTGTATTGTAGTGGTTCTTGCCGATTTATGTGGGCAGAGGGGTCACAAGTGGGCCCGTTCTGTTCGCTCTTGGGATTCCCCAATAAATAGTTTTGTGATTTTTTTTTAATCCGCGATAATAACAAGAATAATACGGAATTTATAAAAAGTTGCGTGTGCATTGGATATTTTTGCGAGGAGAATCCGGATTGCCATGGGAAAGTTGCGCCCAATGAAAGGTAATTATTGAAAAATTATCATTCTATTGAATATTAAATGATTATTGTAATGAGTAATTTTTTAGGAGAAAATGTCAAGGAAATGTGAATAATCTTTATGCCAAGTCTCTTTGGATGTTAATTTTTTCTCCCAATTGAAATTCAACTCATCACATTTTACAAATGGCAAATAAAGAATAGTATGTAATAATGAGTATAATGATGATGATAATGATGGTTACGACGTATTTGCGGATGTAACTGGAGGAGATAATCGAGGGTATTGGGAGAATGTCGGGAAGCCTTGGAATGAGCATATTTGGCGATGTCTGTAAGGTTCCGTGGATTACGCGATCCCATTGCTGCTTTAAACCGAACAAAACAAATATCATAGTGAGTCAATATCGAAGACCCACGGTGCGCAATTAATGAATTACATTCCCCAATTTTTCCACGCAGATGTGGAAGTGACTTTTTTCTTAAATCCAGCAAAGAATTGAACATTTTTTAGCCACAAAAATTCTACTTATTGAAGACTTAATTACATTTCAAAGACTAAATACAATGTTGTATCAAATCAAATGAAAATATACAATAAACTTGAGAGTCAATAACGGGCCAAGAGTTTATGTATTATCGTTTTATATTATAAAGATCTAAATCGACTTCTAATGATAAAAATTTGGTACTCGAAATTGGTACTCGACAATTAAGGGTCATAAGGGTCAAAGAAATGGTCATGAGGGTCAGAATAAGGGGCGTAAGGGTCATAATAAGGGTTACGAGGTTCAGATTCAGAGTCATAAAGTCAGAATAAGGCTCATGAGGTTCAGAATCAGAGTCATCAAGGTCAGAATAAGGCTCACGAGGTTCAGAATTAGCGTCATCAAGGTCAGAATAAGGCTCACGAGGTTCAGAATCAGTCATGAAGGTCAGAATAAGGCTCACGAGGTTCAGAATCAGAGTCATCAAGGTCAGAATAAGGCTCACGAGGTTCGGAATCAGTTATGAAGGTCAGAATAAGGCTCATGACGTTCAGAATCAGTGTCATAACGTTCAGAATAAGACTCACGAGGGTCAGAATCAGAGTAATAAAGGTCAGAATAAGGCTCATGAGGTTCAGAATCAGAGTCATGAAGGTCAGAATAAGGCTCATGAGGTTCAGAATCAGAGTCATGAAGGTCAGAATAAGGCTCACGAGGTTCAGAATCAGAGTCATCAAGGTCAGAATAAGGCTCACGAGGTTCAGAATCAGTCATGAAGGTCAGAATAAGGCTCACGAGGTTCAGAATCAGAGTCATCAAGGTCAGAATAAGGCTCACGAGGTTCAGAATCAGTCATGAAGGTCAGAATGAGGCTCACGAGGATCAGAATCAGAGTAATGAAGGTCACAATAAGGCTCATGAGGTTCAGAATCAGAGTCATAACGGTCAGAATAAGGCTCACGAGGGTCAGAATCAGAGTAATGAAGGTCAGAATAAGGCTCACGAGGGTCAGAATCAGAGTAATGAAGGTCAAAATAAGGCTCACGATGTTCAGAATCAGTTATGAAGGTCAGAATAAGGCTCGCGAGGTCTAGAATCAGAGTCATGAAGGTCGGAATAAGGCTCACGAGGTTCAGAATCAGAGTCATGAAGGTCAGAATAATGGTGACGAGGGAGATTAAGGGAGATTAAGGGTCACCAGGGTCAGAATAAGGATTATGGGGATCATATGGGGGTCGGCGAGCGGAGCGAGCAGGGCATAGTGAACAATCCTCTTCATAGAAGATTTTTGATACTAGATTTCAAGATATGTATATATGTAAATACTGACTATTTTACCTTTGAGCAAAAACTTGAAGAACAAAAAAAACGCGATCCCATCATATGCGTCTGATCGCCTCATCCTTCGCACCACACACGACATTCCATCGAAACCACCGACGGTTGTAACAAATAAAATGGAATAACAATTTCCTTTTTCACGAAAAGAAAAAAAATTACTAGAAGATTGTGAAGGCCTGAAGGCGAGAGAGATCGAGTGGGGGCGCCCCGAAGGAGTAGAAAAGAGTACCCAAAACAAAAATAAATTTTTGCAAAAAAAACTCGCCAAGAACGGGTGCGAGCGTTCTGTTTACAAAAAGTGGTGAAATCAAGAAAAGTCTCAAGCACTGAATACATAGAGATTCTGAAGACAAATAAGGAAAACCGACGGAAAAATGGAAATTATGAAAATAAAATGATAAAAACGAGTTAATTTTCAAATGATAAATAAAGAATAAAATAGTACGAACTAACAATGATAATGATGATGATGATTACGACGTATTTACGGATGTAACTGGAGGAGATAATCGAGAGTATTGGGAGAATGTCGGGAAGCCTTGGAATGAGCATATTTGGCGATGTCTGTAAGGTTCCGTGAATTACGCGATCCATTGCTGCTTTAAACCGAACAAAACAAATATCATAATGAGTCAATATCGAAGAACCACGATACGTAATTACTGAATTACATTCCCCAATTATTTCACGCAGATATGGAAGTGCCTTTTTTTCTTAAATGCAGCAAAGAATTCAATATGTTTTTGAACCACAAAAATTCTATTTGTTGGAGACTTAATTGCATTTCAAAGACTAAATAAAATGTTATATTAAATCAAATCCAAAATATAAAATCAACTCGAGAGTCAATATCTAATCAATATTTATTTGAGTTTATATACTATGAATAATACATTTCATAAAAGTTTTTTGTTCTTACTTTTTACGATATGCATATATGTAAATACTGACTGTTATTTCTTTGAATCAAAACCTTGTTGAACAAAAAAAAAAGGATAAATATAAGATTCATTTGATGCTGTTTTGTACCAAAAATTTCACATCGAATGATTTTCCGTATTCAAGTATGAGGAAAATTGCATGTCCCATCTCCTCCAAGGACATTCCATCGAAACCGCCGACAATTGCAATGAGTAAAATGGAATAACAATTTCCTTTTTCACGAGAAGAAAAAAAATTACTGGAAGATGTATGAAGGCCTCCAGGCGAGAGAGATCGAGTAGAGGCGCCCCGAAGGAGTAAAAAAGAGTATAAATATGGTGGGCAGAGTCACCACGAGCCTTGGGCTGGTTCTTGGAGTTGCATAACGCAAATATCGATGCCACCAGTTTGATGTGCACGCACAGGGGGCTTTGATGAACATGTTTGCCTCATAAGTAGTGAAGCAGTGGCATCCCACGTGTGTATGGGTGACGCCCTTGTATTATAATTTAATCAAATTTCATCGAGATGTGACGGGGATCATTTGTGGGTGGATGGATCGAGCAGATTCATCTTTTAGGAAATTTTTCCACCAGATATGATTTCGTGAAAAAGTAAATGAGCAGATCCACGCTAAATCAGCAGGACAAAGAAGTCGATGCTGGGAATTTTCATCTCAATTTTTTTTCTGAAAAGATGGCGCTTAGACAAGAATTATGAAAAAAGAACGATTGACAAATACGGATAATTGAGGGAGTTATGATTTTTTGAAAATTACTAGTTTTTGTCCAAAAAATTTTTTTTTCCAAATTGGCCCCAATATCTCTGGGGGGTTCAAGCTATCAAATCGCCCTTCGGCACACTCGAAGAACAGGAAAAACCCTTCAAAATGCGACCTCATACATAACATTATCTTTAGTTTGACGGGATTTATACAAAAAAAAATTTTTTCAATCGTTAATTGTTCAAAACGCTAATTTTTTTAAAATCCGAAAATTTCGCCAAAAATTGTCAATAAAATGTCAAGAATTTTGACGGTAAGTAGAGTTTGCCTTTCGCCGTAGTTGGGCGGTTATCAAATTTTTCATTGAGCCGAATATTAAAAATGACCGAAAATCGCTATTATTCATGCAATTATTGCCCAAATAAGTGAATATTCAATTAAATATTAGCAAATTGTGGAGGTTAGACTCATTGTCCAAAAAATTAATATTTCTCTAATTATACAATGGAAATACATTTTTCAAAGAGCTTTAATTAGTTGGTAATCGTAAATTTAATTGAATTCACTCATTTTTGATTATTCAATTGAATATTCACTCATTTGGGGGGATAATTGCATGCATAATAGCGATTTTCGGTCATCTTCAATACTTGTTCCACCGAAAAAAATAACTGCCGAATTACGGCGAAAGACAAACTCTAATTGGTGTCAAAATTCCTTTCATTTTATTGACAATTTTTGGTGAAAATTTCCGATTTTTTAAAAATTAGTTTTTTGAGTAATTAACGATTGAAAAAAAAATTTCTCGTATAAACCCCGTCAACTTGAAAATAATGCTATGTATGACGTCTCATTTTGAAGGATTTTTCATGTTGTTTGATTGAGGCCAATTTGGAAAAAAAAATTTTTTGCACAAAGCAAGTCATTTTCAAAAAATCCTAACTCTCTCAATTACCGATATTTTCAATTTTTCTTTCATTAAAATTTTTATCTAATCACGTTTATCTAATCTTTTCATTACAAATTTGAGAGAAAAATCCCCAGCATCGACTTTTTTGGCCTGCTGATTTGGCGTGGATCTGCTCAACTACGTATTCTCAAAATTCAATCCTTACATTTAAGAAAAATTCTCCATTGACACCCGAGGCGATAAAAAAATTACACACTACGCATACTACATTACATGTTGAAATAAATCCTCGCATGGTTACCTATGACAATAGAAACCTGGAAACTTTCAATTTTGTCCACAACTGTACAATCTAATTCTACTTCACATCACTAACTCGTGAATAACGAGATAATTCCAGTCATAAAACTCGAACTCAATTTGTCCGTTTTTTTCTTCGTAATGAAAAAAAAAGCAGAAAGGATGCGAAAACCAGCGAAAACACCGTGGGACTGGATGCATTACAGACACAATTGGTATCCTCTTTATTCGTGTTTGTGTGATTCATTCTCTTGCATCCAACTGCATTCAGAAAATTTCTACCTTGTGTGCACAGTTCGCCGTCAAAAGTGAACGCAAAAGTTTACTCTTGTGTGCGTTTATGTGTGTGTGTGTGTGTATTAACTTTCACCCGAGTCATGACCATATTGGCGTTATTTTTAGTGTGCCATATGAAAATGCACACCATTTTTCGCGACCGTCAAGGGTGAAACGAATAAGGTGCTGACACAATTAATTGGAAAATCCATTTTTCAAAGATTTCGATTCCAGAGAAAATATTCTGACCTGCACCTCGTTGAATTTTTTTTACAACGTTTTTATTCAATAAAATAGTCGTCGTTTACATACACTGAGAGAAAAACAAACACGTTGTCAAACAAGTCTTGTTTGGGCCAACACAATCGCTAGTTGAAAATTGCCAAAAAAGAATTTAAACCAAACAAATTCTTTTTTCGAAATTGTGTTCGAATTTGAAAGTCTCAAACATGAATAATTGCTCTGCTTTCGACAGCAACGAAATATTCGGCTCAAGAGGCGGCTAATTCACACCAGTTGGTGCCTTTTCAGGATCAAAAAATCTCATATAGAGGAAAATTGATCAACAAATATTTAATCCCAAAGTTAGAAGACTGCTATCATATTATTATTATTGTTTCATTTAAGGGTTTACTTCTTGTCTGTGATTATTAGACAGCCGAGACGAAAAACTACTATCCCTTGCATAAAACAAAGATTTTTCGGGAGCAAAATGTGATTCTAAGAAAATTAGAATTTAGAGAGAAAAAATTTCGGTTTCACCCAGCCGGGAATCGAACCCGGGTCTCCCAGGTACGCGCCGGGCACTCTTCCACATGAAAAGGGGGACCACTTTGTCGATTTTATTTTCCGAGATATTCACGTTCTTGTGTCAGCCACTCCCATTTGCACCATTGTTGAATTGTTTTTTCCATCTTCTCTAACGACGTCATTTTTGACCCCATGAAGATCATTTTGGGCTCAAAATGTGCGGAATAGTATCAATATTATCAGAGTATACATAACACCATATCGACAAAGTGGTCCCTTTTCATGTGGACGTCCACAAATATGTATGGGAGTCTCGAATAACGAAGGAGTAGCTTTTTTAAACTACTAAATCTATTTTTGCGACAAAAATTTTTCATTCCGGCGCACCTTCTGCAGGTTTGGCACAAAAAAATCCTTTTTTGATAATTTTCAAAAAACTATTTTCTTGGCACAAGTAAGACGTGTTTGAGAACTTTGTCGTTTTTCTCTCAGTGCATATACACACCTAGAAATTAGTATCAAAAAGCTTTTGTGGATTATCTTACTTTTTTTAAACAAACTTTTGGCTCCTCAGTGACCCCCAAGGATTTTTTGTATTTGGTATTTCAATTTGATGTGACACTGTATTTTGTTCAATGAATGCATTTATAATTGCACTTACTATTTAACAAAAAATAAATTTGATTTTGCTCGCTTCAAACAATAATTCTTGTAAAAAATTATCAAAAAATAATGGATATGAAAAAAGCACTTCGAGATTTGCAAGAAAATGACGAATGCAATTATTTAATTACATATCATGAAACTTAAGTCGTGTCACTATGATTTCTTGCAACTAGGTGAATAAGGGGAGGGGCCACGGTGGGTCGTTTTGGAGAGTTACAATTTTCTTTCCCCATTTAATCGTAAAACACGAGATTGAAGTCGAAAATGGCGACAAATGGCTCATTAATTAATTCGCCTCACAACCCTATTTTTTAACCAATACTTTCTCTTTTTCTTTTTTAGTAACTATGGACTGGCATGGCGTTGTCGCGCTCACCTATGTACTGGTAAGTTAAATGCACCGAGACCCATTTCTCTGTGATATTAATTGCCACTTTAAAACCAACAATTGAATGACAGTAAACATGGATATCCACGTTTTGAGAGAACGAGCTGAGAAATTGTATCCGTTGAGAGAAATCAGTCTTTTTCTAACGCACTTCCATATTATGTACTCTTTTATTTATCATCCGGTTTGCGTTGATATTGAGCACTTGAATATTAATAGGGAAATTTGTCCACGGGAATGGATGCTGAAATACTCGCAAATTGAAAGTTAATCTACTTTTCGGCATCGCTTTTTCCGATATGAAATGTGCATGCAAACCGGTTCAGCGGGTGGTTGCGATTGGCGATTCTCGAGGAATTTTCACGCTCTCAAATTTTTTTGTACTTTTATGCGCGTTAATTTCCAGAATGATGAACAACGTGTGGACGTTGCCATTGGATTTGAGTATAAAACAAGTGGGAAATCGCTCTTCTATTGCATAGAGTATAGTTATTTTTGCTAATAAATTAGCAATATGCTTCCGAGTGATTATTTTGCACATCATTTCGTTCTATCATGTGTGATTCATTGTTTATTTCATTTTATTTAATTGAATAAGATTTCTTTTCAACTAATTTTGTGGGGTTTTCCACTTAGTTGAATGTTATCAGCATCATTATTCTTATAATCTCTTTCTTCTATACTACCGATTTTCTTTTACGGTTCTACCTCTCCCCTCCGCCATTCGATAAAATGTTAATAGAATAGTATATTCCGTCCCGGCGGGTGCAAAGTTACATTTCCCTCCCGCTTCGCGGGAGGGAACTCTGACTTTGCGCCTACGCCGAGACGGAAAATTGCGTTCTAACCACGGGAAGTAAAATGGAGGACCCTCAGCCGCGTGTTTACCAACCTCGCCTTCGGCTCGGCTGGTAATTGCACTGGCGGCTGAGGATCCTTTATTTTCCCTCCCTAGGTTAGAAATATACTATTGTGCATCAAGGTCGGAAAGTCGTGTTTTCCCGCCCGAGGTGCACATGCTATTTTTTAACACGCCTGCAAAGCAAAGTTCGTATTTTGCTCTTTGATGAGCGGGAGGAAAGTGAGTACCTTCCGCCCTAGGGTAGAAAGTTGCTCCCAGGGGCGGAAAGTCTTCCGGATCATATTGATTCCAAATGAGACAAAAAACCAAAACTTGAATTTGAACGATTACAAAGCTTCCATTCGCAGTTAAAAAGTTTGAAAGTAGGGTGAACAGTCCAACTATTGTTTGAAAAAATATTTACAAAATACTGATCAATTCCAAATTCCAGTAAGTTTCAGGGAAAAAAAAAGAAAAAATACATTACGTAATGAGAAATAATCGGGAAAAAATGAAAAATTATGTTCAAGTCCAAAAGACCTATTACGGAACACTTTTATCAAATACGGAACACGCCTTCGGCCCCTCGCCTTCGGCTCGGCTGGTAATTGCCCTGGCGGCTGAGGATCCTTTANGGAGGACCCTCAGCCGCGTGTTTACCAACCTCGCCTTCGGCTCGGCTGGTAATTGCACTGGCGGCTGAGGATCCTTTATTTTCCCTCCCTAGGTTAGAAATATACTATTGTGCATCAAGGTCGGAAAGTCGTGTTTTCCCGCCCGAGGTGCACATGCTATTTTTTAACACGCCTGCAAAGCAAAGTTCGTATTTTGCTCTTTGATGAGCGGGAGGAAAGTGAGTACTTTCCGCCCTAGGGTAGAAAGTTGCTCCCAGGGGCGGAAAGTCTTCCGGATCATATTGATTCCAAATGAGACAAAAAACCAAAACTTGAATTTGAACGATTACAAAGCTTCCATTCGCAGTTAAAAAGTTTGAAAGTAGGGTGAACAGTCCAATTATTGTTTGAAAAAATATTTACAAAATACTGATCAATTCCAAATTCCAGTAAGTTTCAGGGAAAAAAAAAGAAAAAATACATTACGTAATGAGAAATAATCGGGAAAAAATGAAAAATTATGTTCAAGTCCAAAAGACCTATTACGAAACACTTTTATCAAATACGGAACATCGTGAACAACTTTGTGAAACGGTGAAAGGTTAGGAATCTTAGGAAGTAATACGGATATTTTTGTACAAAAATTTAATCAAGTTCAGATTATAATTGAAAATTGGAATTGTCACGCAAATTTTATTATGCAAAGAAACTTCTACTAGTGAATAAACATAAAAATACGTAATGTCGATCACCTGAACACATAACTCGACTTTTTTCATATCTGAATTAGAACAAGTTAACAAGGAATAGAAACATAAACGTCATTACATTTTCAACTTATCAATTATTCATATATTTTTGACCGAACCACTCCGGCACGTGCCAAACGAAAACATCAGTGTTACGGCGATTGGAAATGCCATGAAACCCCAACCCAAATGGCGGAACACCCATTTATTTGTACAAATAAGAACGTACGGATAAAATGAATGCAAAATATTAAAAAAAATGAAGCTTTTGGGATCGATATTAGTCTGGACTTACGACATTTGATGATTATTAACCCAAGTAACTTCGTTCGGCCCATTAGCGGCCACACTGCATTGAGAGAAAAAATATAATTCTTCTGACTATATTTCATCACCATCGAATTATACTCAAAAAGTCCTCAACAATTTTTCATGGGTTACGGTAACTACGGCCGGCGAAGTAATTACTACAATGGAATGTAGTCAGTGCAACTATTTTATAGTTCTCCGCACGATAGATTTGTCGTGGTTACTTTTGAACTTTGGTTAGTTTAACTGCATTTCGATTTGCAAAAATTACGCTTGTGAAGTTACCATAGTTATGTGCCGCATACAAAAAAAAATCGTATCGTTCACCAAAATGCCTCAACTATTTTCTTATTGTAAATGGAACATCAGATTTTTCTCTCAGTGTGTCATATCTAACTACTCACCTGTCGCAAAATGGACAGAAAACAGCAGATAGACCACTAAATAAATTCTCACATCATGGATGGAAATATCGACTTGATTAAAAAAAATCGATTCGATAGATACGTAAATATTCCAGATATCTGGCAAAATACTCAAGTCTTCCGCTAGTTTGGGGAGTTCCGCAATTGGACTGCACGGAGAGAAATGTTCAGTAAAAATTACGGAACTCGAAGTTCGCTCACCGATTACGGAATCGACTCAGAAAATTTAAGTGACGGTATCGTAATTTTTCACAGGAGATTCAGATAAAAATTACGGAACGCTCTGGAAAAATTCCGTGACAGCTCCGTAAAATTTCCTACACCCACATTTCGCTCCGGAATTACGGAAAAGATACGTAATTTTTATTGAATCTTTCTCTCCGTGTGTTCACCCTATTCGAAGTGAATTTGAAAACCTTAAAAGCCAGACATTTCGTCAATTCCAAACCATAATACAAAATAACAGAGCATACCTCTGCGGTCCTCCCGAGGCCCCGTAACCCAAATAAACCGTGAATAAGAAAAAGTCGGTCTCATCATCAGTGACAGTGAGCCAAGTCACGCATATAAATGTTAGGTGACACGCAATACACGCGTCACAACGCGTCCTCAACCATTACGTAATCAGAAAGTTATCGCGAGAAAAAAGAGAAAGAACTCGACAATTAAAGAATGGGTCGACGTTCCCATCTGACTTTGACAGCTCGTCAATCGTCCACTTGCTGTGGAGGTGAGCTAAATAGTAGTGCAAAGCGCCTTACCTGCAATATTGTTTTTAAACCAGGTTAGTTAGCTAATGTAACAGCAACCGAGTAATTTTCGATATTGTGCAATGCTCTCAAAGGACAGACACTGTGCAATTGCTTTGTGATGCGAATCCGAATTATGTATTTTTATTTATTTATTTATTTGATTTTTCTCATGAAAATTCATTAATCTCCTGACGTGAATATTGTGTATGTGTATGCGTATTTTCTAATGCTATTACTCTCTTTATAGTTGTGGTTTGCACATTTTAGAATCTAAAATTGGGAATTCTTGAGAGAGATATGTACAGGTCGAATGCTGAGTATCTGAGACAGACATTCGCTTCAGTTACGAGACCACGCCCGCCTTACCTTTGTATTCTTTCAAGTTATACATGGCTATATGGACATGTATCGGGGCCGGATCTTATTCAGGTAGAGACCCGGTTCTCCAGCCACCGGCGGCGTCATTTCAACATTTCACTCTCGAATGTGAGGTGGTGTTATTTCTTATTCTTGCTGTTAGGCGACACCATATTGAGGAACTTGCCACTTGCTGTTATCCCGATGACTCGACTCATTTCCAATTCAAATGATGCTGTTAGATGATTTCAAACCTTGATTTTTCCTTTTGAGAATTCCTGGGCAAAAAGCGTTGAATTTATGTTTTTTTTTTTCATTAAATGATTTATAATTGCCTTGTGATTATAAATAAACTTTCGTGGGACTTTTTATTGATGAAAAAAAATGAAGAAATTTAGCCAACAAAGCGTGAATAAGTGCATGAGGGAACGCGATCATTGAAATGAACTCATTATTGAAGAATAGAAGAATGGAGAGATTTTTATTAGGTTGATCATTCTGGTCACTCAGTTTGCCCTAGCAGATAATTAGAATTCACCCTAGCTCAAAACAATTTTGCAGTTCGAATTGGAAATCAACGTGGGCGTGTTTAGGAAATCCGAAGACGTGGGCGGCAAGCAATGAAAGTTTGCAGACGTATTCACCAAAGTTAGAAAATTCAAATATTTCGGATTAGTCAAGCTTTGGATAAAAAGGTATAATGGTATCCTTGCCATGACGAATCATGAAGCAAAATGAAGAGGTGAGATGTAGTGAATCGAAATCGATTTCACGTTCACTGCTAGATGCGACCACAAGGATACGTACATTTTATATAGTTATCCTCGAGAGTGCTACACCAGTTGCCTATAAAAGTATAGAGTTCGCCGTGTTTATTCGCGTGTGGGGAGATATTCAAGGACATCAAAGGCATTGCGGTCGACCCACGTCGTCTTTACAAGGCGCTGTGATATCCTATTCGTAGGGAATAAAGAAAGACAGACAGAGAGGGGAGGGCGGAATTTGTTTCATCATAACACAATCAATTTTTCTTTTACCAAGGATAATTATGACTCTGATGATAGCAAGCAGACAGTGGCATTTTTTAAATAAATGAGTAGAGTAATTGTTGCTAATAAATTAGTAATTTGCTTACGAAATGTCATCAAAATTTGCGTTCAGACACTCTCGAGACTCGAATTCGTTTTCAATCTGGGTTTAATCAAGGTTCAATCGAGGTTTAGTCACTGTATAGCCGGGATTTAGTCAGGCTTTAATCAGGATTTAGCCAGAGTTTAACCCAGGTTCTGTCGGAAGTTAGTCGGGACCATGAATCAATATGAATCAGTTTTCAAAATAGTAGACTGGTACCTGAGTTTAATGGAGATAGAAATTTTTATATAAAAGCTCATGACGGTACTGTGTAACTTGATAAGTAATGATGCTGTTCTCACCATTTTTCAACTTTATTAAGCATTGACGTAAGCATTTTTTTACAAGAGTAATTTTTTTATGGTCAAATGCCATGAAACTTTGGCAAAACGTTATTTGAACTATTATAAAATGATCGATCTATCGCTCAGCTCTTCGTCATATTGTCAATATCGATTTTTTTGGTTTTTTATGCTTTAGTTGATATCGACAATATGACAAGGAGCTAAGCGATAGATCGATCATCTTAGAATGGTTCAAATAACGTTTTGCCAAAGTTTCATGGCATTTGACCATAATAGTACATTAGAGTACAAGGGCACAAATTTCGTTTTCAACGAATGTGTAGTTTACAGGCTGAGCCGAAGGCGAGGTCTGTACACACATTTTTTTGAAAACGGAATTTATTATCGAGTGCTCTATAATATTTTATGTCAAGTCGTGCAGAAGTCGACTTATTGCACGGCGCGACATAAAAAAATTTACTCTTGTGAAAAACTCCCGCCAAAATTGCTTACGTCAATCTTTAAGAGGGCATTGAAATATACTTTTCAAGCTCTGATTTAATTACTATTGTTGATGATTCTTTCACTAATGATGAAAAAAACAATTTTCCCTTCCGGACAGAAACGCGCAGCGCCGCTTTTCACAATTTAACGGTAATTATGATTGATTGATATGCCTATCACTGACTAGGACCTCTAATTTTTACAGAATTTTTCAGCGTCGAGAAACACGCTAAAATAAATAAAAAAAGAAATCGAGCGGCGCCGCGCTCATTGAACGAGTGATCCAGGGTTAAAAATCGCGTATTCGGACTTTTCAGACAATATTAATTTACCACACCACTAAAAATTAGAAACTTAAATTAGAGCGATTACAAAGCGTCGATTCGGAAGCCAAAACTGTCATATTTATAATATTATAGAGTAATTTCAGTTTTAATACACAGCAAATCAATCAAGCAGATGTAACGTCATATTAAATTAGTTTCTCATTTATTAAATATTTTAGTTCGATAATTCTTGTCAAAATGGAATTATCACAAGGAGAGAGTATTTTGTTTGTCATATAACGTTCTACTATTTGCATTGATTGTATATAGACTAAATTTCAACCCTTACCTCATATACATTTCACTCATTCATCCATACTTAACAGTTTATTTCATTAATTATTTTCGATTCCAAATGTTAGATAGAAAGTGTGCACACTAGAAATATTTATTATAGCTCTGACAAGTTAATTATACCAAAATAAAGACAAATCAAAGGCTCAGACTACTCGAACGAATACAATAGAGAATTTTGTACGATCCGTACTTGTCAGTGTCCGAGTAGCGAGCGAGAGCTCGTGCAATTATCACTGGTGTGACACTTGGTCGATTGAACGTGGCGCCTTATTTGGGTATTTCCAAAAATACTTGAAGGCGCGAAGGCCTAAACCGTTGTATCATTACATATTTAAAAAACTCCCATTGCTGTTGTTTTCAACTGAAGAATGATTCAATTACTGGATCCCCTTTATGTAAATTCTCCCTGTGCTTATTACAAAATCATGTCCGAATCACCAAACCGCAACACCAAAGAAACTATTGAACAATTGTTTTCTGTTCATTCCCAGATCCTGACGATAGCGCGACTGGAAGGAAATGCCTTCGCTGCCCAAATACCATCTGGACACAGTCTTCCCACCTGTAAGTACTCCAACTATTCCATATTAATAAGTACTCATAATTATGTCATTAAGTGGTCAAAGTTGTAGATCGATACGTTTCTCTTACATAAGTTATTCAGCATTTAACAATCCCGATGAGTTACGAAGACTCGGACTGTTTCACTACTCCACTAAATTACAAATGCAAATGAGTAAATCAAACGAATATGACAGGTGGATGGGATTCGTCATGCTGACTTTTCAAAATTCCCCTGGCTTTTCACATAAAATCATAATTAAGGAGCCATTTCATAATTGAAAGGCTGATTATCATAATTAAAGAGACTCAATTTCCTTGCAGATGATTAAAATTGTCCTTTAATCATGTGCAGTCGTCGTGGACACCTCCATCGTATCAAATTAGACCGCAATTAATCTGCAAAAAAATTAAATGGCCTTCTCTGAGACATTGCCACTGACGAAGGTGATTCCCTCTCTCTCTCTCCCTCTCTCTCCTGTTGTAGACGACCTAAATTTCCTCTTCAGCTTGGAGCAGGCATTTAAAAGTCGCCAATCCAAGTACATATACCAACAACACTGAAAAGTAACCGTGAAAGAGAGGCAAGTAAAAGCGAAGAGATGATCTTCATCGAAATCCGCGAAAGTTTTCTCCGCGAGCCAACACGCCGTAACGCATGGAAGAGTGGGTGGATTGGCGGGAGGGAGAGCGGAGGGAGCCAATGAGGGTCTAAATGAAAGGAGAGATGCATACCATGCTAGTAAAGCAGCTCCTTTTGTCTCGTGTTTATGGCCATAAATTCTTTCGCTGAGAATTTTACTCTGCTTTCTTGCAGTATCCTTAGACTAATGATAATTTTGCCGGTTGGGGATTAAAAATGGGTCTAGTTGATGGGGTCAAGATTTAATTCAATAAAAATTGCGCGATTGTCGTGGATTTTCAGCTGAAAATATTGAAGAGGAAACTTTTTGTTGAATAGTGTTGTGTGAGAAGAGGTAGAAAAAAATTCCGTCTCACTCGTATTGAAATATATAATATATATAATATATTAATATATATAATATATAATACTATTTAATGCTGATTTTTAATTTCTTTTGCGAAATGTTTCTAACACGTCTGGTTTTCGAGAAACAAAATTTTGCAATGTTGAAAAATGGCTAAAATGAACAGTTTGAGAAAATTATAAACAATTAATTTGACCGTAGTTTTTCGCAGAAAAAAATATGAAGTAATCAAAATGAGATTTGTTTAGTGGATTCATTTTTATTCGAATTGGTTCAGTCAAAATGAGTGAAAAAAATCCTGAAAGTCCCAATTTCATGATTTTTCTTGTGAAATCAAATGATTGGAAGGTGGTGTACGCCAATTTTAAATCTATCACACACGTGTGTTAATGTCGACTTGACTTACCATGAAGTTTGAAGAAGCCATTCCTGCAAAGTAACCGGTTAATTGCTCTTATGAGAAGTCACTTAAATTTTCAATTGCCTATGAACTAAATAATTGACAATATGGAATTGTCAATTGACTATTGAGTAAATAATTCTAAATTCCATGAAAGTATTAAAATAATCGTCAATCTTCCGAACTTAATTATTGATTGATGAAATAATTCGGAATTTGAATATTTAATTGATGATTAATTTAATGATTTAAAAATTGATGAGTAACATAAATAATTGATTAATTCAAAATCCTAATTCAATTAAAATTTATGATTATGCCTATGTCTGAAAATCTCAAGATATCATGGAAATAATGTCATAGCAGATAAAAAAATGATGTTCGTCCGACTATGATCTCTTGTGAAACAAGTTCTTTTCATATCAAAGTATGAGTACATACATCACGACAGTAAAAAAAAATACTCGCAGAAAAGCACTCGGAAAGATGTATCCTACAACAATCGTAAAATAAACAAAGGAACAAATAAAAAAGAGGAAGCGGAGAGTGATGGGATTCACCGAGGCATAGCGGAGGCCTCGAGGTCGCGCAAAATCTACGTCCTCCAACCTGTATTGCAGATAAACAACAGGCGCCTCTTCTTCTCTATTATAAAATTATTAGAAAGACAAAAGAAGAAAGACAGACATAAATGAATTTTAAAAATTAGTAGTTCCTCGAGTAATTAGCACATTCCGGTGGCGGTAATATTTTAATACTCAACTGATTCATGAAGGAAGAATTATATTCTAGGTTACGCATTTTATTATGATACACGCAAAAAAATCGTCCTGAATCAAACCGAAAAATCGGTTTGAATCAAGTCGAACTGAATTATGCCGGGAATCGATTCATTTCATGTCGGATCGTCGGCATGAATCAAGTCTGACTCGGAGAAATGCAAGGCGGCACATCGGTCTGATTCAAATCAATTTTTCGACTTGAATCAGGTCAACTTCGGGTTGATTTAAGTCAATTTTTCGGCTTGATTCAAGTTGATTTTCCTGCTTGATTCAAGTTGATTTTCCTGCTTGATTCAAGTCGATTTCCCGGTTTGATTCAAGTCGATTTTTCGACCGCCACATGTATAACTCCCAAAAATCACCTTAAATCAAACTAAAAAATCGACTTTAATGAAGCCAAAAAATCGACTGGAATTAAGTCGAAGAATCGACTTGAATCAAGTCAAAAACCGACTTGAATAAAGCTCAAAAATCGACGCGAATGAGGTCGAAAAATTGACCAATTGAGTCAATTTCGACTTGACACGTTTCTCCTTGAAATAATCCACTTTTCTGCTAATATCAGGTCCGAAATTCTGATTGATGGACTCAGAGTCACTCGACTTGAATCAAGCCAACATCAACTTGAACCAGTACGATTTTTTAAAAGTATAATTACATGATTATTTGATAATTGACTTTTTCCATTAATTAGTGATAAATAGCAATATTCTTTATTTCCGATTTTTATTCCTGTGTGATCACGCAAATGCATAAAATAGAATTATCTATGACCTTGAAATTCCTCTAAAGTCTGCAGTACCTGCAATAGAGATTCCTGTATTGTCACGGAGTCTGGGATGATTGCTAAATCGTTTGAAACCGCAATAACGGATCACAAAGAAACTGTTGTTGTCTTTGACTGAAGAAAAATATAAAGAAATAAAGAACTGAAAAAAAATGGGCAAATAATCGGTTAGACAAGAAATCCGCAAGGAAAATTACGGAGACGGTGTGGCGGCCAGTGGTCACGTATGTCCGGAGGATGCATCTTTATGGGGGAGGGCACCCGCACGGTTCTCACAACGGTTGTTTCATTTTTCTTTTTATTATTATTTAATATTCAGGAGACGTAGTTATTTCCTCAACGAGTCAATCGAAAGGTGGGGATTGACGATTATACAATTGATGACGATGCGGGTTGTCGAGGAGGAGAAAATAAATCATCAATGAAATTTATTCATTCTGTTGTTGAGAGGTTATCGAACATTCATTTAGGAGTAGGGTGAACAGCCTAATTATGGAACACTCAAGGCTCTTCAGAGGTTCAGAAAATGGTTTGAAAATGGAGTATTCGTGGAAAAAATAGATGAAAATACTGGTTGATACCAAATTCAGTGGGTTTCAGAAAAAAAACACATTATGTAACGAGAAATGATCGGGAGAAATGGAAAATTATGTTCAAGTCCAAAAGACTTATTACGCAACACTTTTGCCCAATATGGAACATCGTGTCCCCAATTACGGGACATTAGAGCTTTTTGAGACGGTGAAAGGTTACACTGATAGAACGGATTAGTTATTGTTAACGAATGTATATTTGAGGAGCCTTGTTTGACTTGACTTTCGCCATTCAAGTGAACCATTCGTTAACTATTAACGAATATTCATTTGGTCATATTCAACTCTACCATTCGTTAATAGTTAACGAATCTCGTTTGGAATAAATGAATCATTCTATCAGTGTACGAACCCGAAGTAATAAAGATATTTTTGTAGAAAAATGTCAACAAGTTCAGATTATAATTGAACATTGGAATTGTCATGCAAATTTTATTATGCAAAGAAACTCTTACTAGTACACAAACGCAAAAATGAGTAATGTCGATCACATGAACACATAACTTGACTTTCTTCGTATATGAATTTGTCAGAATAATTTAACAAGGAATAGAAACATAAATGTCATTCATCTTTAAATAATTTATTTTTCCAGATATACAAAAGATTAATCTATCGTTCACAACGACGATTAGTCAACATTCTTCTCTCATGTCTTCTTATCATTCATTTTTTTTTTTCAAGTTAACAGTTATGTTCAGCTGACGTCGAGTAATTTAAAAACGCTCGGGGTGTCCTGTAGTTACAGTGTACACCTATCTTCCCGTTGTCGGCCAATTAACGCCACGCGAAATACCGCAAGATGATTCCTCTCTCACTCCCCCACTCTTCTAAAGCTGAACACATTAGGCTCTCGAGTAAGTGAAGGTATACGACATGTCTGTAGAAAACTTCAAGTATGAATATAATGCACGTTGACTCTGGTATGCGGTGGTTTTAGAATAAAATGAAATGAAATACGGGAACGTCCGGTTCGGCTGAACGTGACGACGACGCTCGACGGCAATTCTTCGCGGTGAGTTCAGTGACCCTAGGGATCAGGAGGGAGAGGGCTATCTCACGAGTGTGTGCACTTGAAAAATATTTTGCAGCACTTTTTTTTTTCATTTTTCGGTCATCTCATTGGCTGGAAAATCGAAATTGAATTGGAAATGTAGTAAATCTGTTGCCCATTCTTTGGCCACGATTCACGCAAAAACGACTGAATGGATTTCAATGGTATTTTCAGTATTACATAATTTCGGGTCCCCAATCGGCTTTAGGCTATAAGTTATTGCGCTACCGGTCATACTAAACTATGCAACTATGAAACTTGTAGAAAATTCTAAAGCTTTCTGAAAAATTCCAGGACTTTCTGGAAAATCCTAGAATATTCTCGAGTTTTCGAGAATGTTTTTGAGATTTATACAAAGTTTGAGGATAGTCTCGGGTTTTATAGAAAGTTCGAGAAATTCCTCGGGTTTTATAGAACATTTGAGAAAATTCTTTGGTTTTACAGGGAATTCGAAAGAACTCTTGAATATTCAAAAAACTCTGATTTTCTAGAAAATTCGAACGAATTCTCAGGTTTTCTAGAAAATTAGAGGATGGTTTGAGTTTTTCTACAAAATTCGAAGGAATTCTCGAGTTTTCTAAAAAATTGTTTTTTGTTCCGCAGAAATTTAAAAAATTCCTTCAGTTCTTTTTTAATTTCTGGGTTTCCCAAAGAAATTACGAAAATTCTCGGGTGTTCTAGAAAAGTCCAAAACATTGAAATGTTTTTTTTTTAATTGCAGGAATTCCCAAAAATCCTGGTATTCAATTTTCTCTTTGGTTTTACAGAAAATTCCAGGAAATTCTCAGATTTTTTAAACAATTTGAAGAAATTCTCCGGTTTTCGAAAAATTCGAGAAAATTTTCAGTTTTACAGAAAATTTGAGATAATTCTTTGTTTTTACAAGGAATTCGAAAAAACTCTTAAATTTTCTAGAAAATTCGAACGAATTCTCAGGTTTTCTAGAAAATTCCAAGGAATTCTCGAGTTTTCGAAAAAAAAATTTTCTCCAATTGAGCAATTCAATTTCGAATTTTGATTGACTAGCTGTGTGGCCGGCTTCACCCGCACCGAGAGAAATATTCAATAAAAATTACGTATCTTTTCCGTAATTCCGGAGCGAAATGTGGTTGTAGGAAATTTGACGGAACTGTCACGGAATTTTTCCAGAGCGTTCCGTAATTTTTAATTGAATCTCCTGTGAAAAATTACGATACCGTCACTTAAGTTTTCTGAGTCAATTCCGTAATCGGTGAGCGAACTGTGAGTTCCATAATTTTTACTGAACATTTCTCTTCGCCCGAGCAGAATAAAAATTGAAGACCAGGATTTTTGAGAATTCCTACAATGAAAAAAAAAAACCTCAATGTTTTCGACTTTTCCAGAACACTCGACAAGTCAAGACAATTTTCGAGTTTTCCAAAGAAATTGAGAAAATTCTCGCATGTTGTTGTAGAAAAGTTCAAAACATCGAGGTGTTTTTCTTAATCGCAGGAATTCTCAAAAATCCTCGTATTCAATTTTCTCTCATTCTGCCCTGGCGAAGTCGAGCCACCCGGCTAGTTATCTCAAATATTTCCAGAGGAATTACACGTTTGACATTTTAAAACCCAATAAAGTAATTTTTTGCTCAAGTTCACGATAAAGAAAGTATCATCCTCATTGCGTAATTACGATGGAAGTCATCTCGACAATGAAACACCAGCCTCGAGAGAGTAAAACCGGATGTCGTGACAGCAGTCGTGTCTTCTCCTTTCAAAACTTTTTATTTTATTTCTCTTCTGCAGAGTCAAGTTCACGACTGTCTCATCATTGTGCCTCACCGACCAGTGACCAACCATTTTATTACTCTTTGTGTTGATGTTTGTATGTACTCATATGGGTTGAAGAGAAACAACTTTGTTCTCAACTTTTCCCCATTCAACTCCATTTCAGCATTCTATCTCACTTTCTCCACTTTTTTTCGATCAATTAGCAGACGGCCTTGAGTGCGGCAGATTGTGTTACTAATTGCCATTTTTAATTTGTGTATGTGTGTGTGTTTTTTTTTGCAGCGACTGCTGCGGTTGCAAGTACCGTGCGGATCGAGTGTGCGAGTGAATCGATAATAGTTCACATATCCACGGAGGGAAACACCGTTTTCCATGGGCTCGTGTATCCTCGTGGATTATCGAAGAATAGCTCCTGTTTGCAAGAGTTCAGGAGTGAGCCTGCACCGATAACTTATCATCTGCCTCTTAGATCGTGCAACACCATGCCTACAGAACTAGTGAGTTGAAAAATTAATTAATCATTGACATTATTGCGTGCAGTATTAAGGATGTACAAGTAGGGGAGAATGGGGCAAAATGAAACAGTCGAAAAACCACTCTTTGATGCGATTCAAGCAAAAATAGTACATTGTGCCCCTAGGGAGTTAAAGTATTTTAAAAGTATTTTAAAATGTAATTTGAATGACGCTGAATATTCATGATTTTTTCCAATTTTTTTCACGCAATTTAATTGACAAATTTGATGATTGAAAATGGTTGAATCTATAGTGTGAAAATTATTATTCTTTTTTTTGCTTGAATTGCGTCAGTCGTTTTTTGGCTGTTTCTTTTTTCCCTCTACTCTCCTCTACTGTGGCTATTTTTTGGCTGAATTTAAATCTTCATATTGTACACTTGGAAAACATTTTAAAAAGTGGAGAAAAATATGAAAGTTCATTTTTGGAGGATTGATGATATAATAAAAAAACTGCAATTTTGTAAAATTGCGAGCATTTCTAAAAATAATTTATAAACAATCAATTTTACACCATAAAAATCATTTATTCGGAATCGTCACCAATTTATTAATATTTAGAATTTTACCAGAAGTCGATTTCATGCCTTTAAAAAAAGGGTTCCGAAAATTTAAACAATTTCAATTATTTATTTATAAACAACGAATGTTAAAAAAAAATCTGTGCAAAATGTAATTTGAATGACGCTGAATATTTAGGCTTTTTTCCAATTTTTTTCACGCAATTTAATTGACAAATTTGATGATTGAAAATGGTTGAATCTATAGTGTGAAAATTATTATTCTCATCAGTACTCCCAATAATAAAAAAAAATTAGTAAACCAAAGTTGATGAAGAAACATTTTTTTTTGCTTGAATTGCGTCAAAGAGTCGTTTTTTGGCTGTTTTATTTTGCTCTACTCTCCTCTACTTCGGCTATTTTTTTTTCACTGAAATGCTTTTGTAGTTTTATTTAAACTTTGCAGATCTGAATTTAAATCTTCATATTGAACAGTTAGAAAACATTTTAAAAAGTGGAGAAATATATGAAAGTTCATTTTTGGAGGATTGATGATATAATAAAAAAACTGCAATTTTGTAAAATTGCGAGCATTTCTACAAATAATTTATAAGCAATCAATTTTACACCATAAAAATCATTCATTCGGAATCGTCACTAATTTATTAATATTTAGAATTTAACCAGAAGTCGATTTCATGCCTTTAAAAAAAGATTTCCGAAAATGTAAACAATTTCAATTATTTATTTATAAACAACGAATGTTAAAAAATAATAATAATTCTGTGCAAAATGTAATTTGAACGACGCTGAATATTCATGATTTTTTTCCAATTTTTTTCACGTAATTTAATTGACAAATTTGATGATTGAAAATGGTTGAATCTATAGTGTGGTCTGTACCAAACTGTAAAAGATAGTCGGATATTCATAATCAGATGAAATTTTTTGTCTTGAATTTGTGTTGTTGGTTATTCCCACGGAATTTTCATAACTGTATATTTGACCACTGTGAGTTGAAAGAAAGATGAAAAAGCAATATCAAATTTTCCATACAATAAAAAATGAAATAGTTTTGATCTGAGGTTACTCGGCTCCAAGCACCTCTGCTGGCTCCAATGCCGTTATGTGTTATTGCATTGGCTCGTTACGTGGCAGAACCAAGCCTGAGTTTAGAATTCAGCCATATATACTGAGGGAAGGGATTTTCTTGGCGTAATGCGATAACTGGACCGTTATGTGACCGTAGTTGGTGCTACCGAGTGTTCATTGCCTTCTTCAACTACCGAAATGCAGTACCTCACGTAGGGTGAACAGTCTAATTGTGGAACACTCAAGGCTCTTCGGAGGTTCAGACAATGGTTTAAAAATGAACTATCGTTTGAAAAAATATTTAAAAAATACTGGTCGATTCCAACTTCAGTGGATTTCAGAAAAAAGTGAAAAAACATTATAAAATGAGAAATAATCGGGAAAAATGAAAAATTATGTTCAAGTCCAAAAGAGCTATTACGGAACACATTTGGCAAATATGGAACATCGTGCGCCCAATTACGGAACATTAAAATTGTGAGACGGGAACGATCAGGAACCCGGAGTAATAAGGATATTTTTGTAGAAGAAGTCAACAAGTTCAGATTATAATTGAAAATTGGAATTGTCATGCTAATTTTATGATTCAAAGAAACTCTTACTAGTGAACAAACGTAAAAATGGCTAATGTCGATCACATGAACACGTAACTCGACTTTCTTCGTATATGAATTTGTCAGAATAATTTAACAAGGAATAGAAACATAAATGTCATTATATTTTCAACTTATCAATTATTTATATACTTTTGACTGAACCACTGCGGCAACTGCTAAACGAAAATATCAGTGTTCCGTCGATTGGAAATGCCATGAAAACCCAACCCAAATGGCGGAACACCCATATATTTGTGGAAATAAGAACTTTCTATATATATTTGTGGAAATATCGACTTGATTTTTTAAAAATCGATTCGACAGACATAAATATTCCGCATATCTGGCAAAATATTCAAGTGTTCCGTTAATTGGGGGGTTCCGCAATCGGATTGTTCACCCTATTTCAATAGTTTTGTTAGGAAAAATTGTCTCAATGTCCCTTTCTCTTTTACGTTCTTCGCATTTCGCTCTCTCCACAAATGTTTCGCAATTCACTACGGATGATTCAAACGGACGTGTGGGGAGAGCGAGCCTTGGAGGAATGAAATAAAAAATGAGAGGCGTTGGATTTGGCGAGGCACAAATATCTAAACAACGTTGAAATCTGCCAAAGTCCTTGAGATATAACAACAGGGAGAAAGAGTTTGAACTCGAGTCGTTCGTTTACTCCTCATTGGAGAAACTCAAAACGGACTGTAGAGGCTAGAGGGAGGGTCTCAAGGTCCCCGGCACAGAATGTGCAACTTCTTTGTCCTGTCCCTACATCTCCACTGACTGGTTCCCAAGTCCTCCCCTGGCATTCTTGCCTTCAAGTTCAGAAAACAATTTCTCAACTCGTTCACTCATGAAAAATTCACACCCCACATTTTTTCTCTCTAGTTTTAGTATTCGTCTTCATGAATAATGGAGTCACGGTAGATTTACTTGTAGTGAAGACCATTATCTTTCAAGAATTGAATCGTGTTGCACATGAATTATGGAAATTCACATTTTGAAAGAAAATATCTTTTGTTATCTTTGCTGTTGTCATTCCATATTTCCAAGTTTTAACAAATAATTCATCTTGTGAAAGCTCTTAACCCCCATGAAAATTGAACAGTAATAATAAATCGTGCTGTAAAATTGAAAGCTGTTGAGGAAGAAAATTGCCCACTAAAAAATCTATTTTATTCAAGTGGGAGGGACTTAACTGCACTATACGTATGTGCATTTACAGTCGCTGTTGAAGGCAAGGATGCAGCACAGATTGTGGGTATCCTTGCAGAGGTCGCGAGTGGATGGGAATCACACAAGTTCATTGGCCTTAAGTCACTCGTTCTCAGTCCTCTTCATTCCTGTTTTATTTATATTTTCCTTGCCTTTACCCTACGGCGAAACAACGTCCTGGGGTTCGTTGCCCGGTCAGTCGCGGTACTAGAATCGCGGAAATATTTAACGCCTCATGAGAGGCAAAAAATCAAATGAAATTATGGGAGATGAGTTGCTGAAAGAATAATTCAACCGTAAACTTGTCGCTCGAGATTTTTCCCCCGGTTCGAAACATAATTGTTATAGGCAACACCAGTGAATATCATGAGACATTCTCCCTTTTGCTTCCGGAAAAGCAAAAGGAAAAATGAGAATGTCATGAAATGTAAAGATGTCATGTTTTTATTCTACGAATTTTTCGGCAAATTTTTATAAATCTTGACAGAAAAAGGACTAAAGCTGAAGCTAAGAATCTGAAATTCCGTCACATAATTGGTATTACTTTGGAGCACTTCTGGGCGCAATCGGTCAAGTAGTTTCTGAGATACAGCAATTTCTCAAAAAACTTTTTTTGTCATGCCGGCCGTAAGGCAGCGTTTCATACGCCCAAAAAAAACTTTTCAAAAATCTTTTTCTCTAAAGAATCACACATCGTCATTTCATCGATTATTTCCGCCTCTGAGGGCTCATTTTCAACTTGTTTTCTGTTCGCAGGAGGATGGTGGAATCGAGTATTTCAATACAATAGTGGTCCAGCCTCATTTGAAACTTGTAACGAATCAGGGCCGGGGCTTCCATGTTCGATGCCGTTATCAAACTCGAGACAAGATCATTACCAACGATCAGACCCGCGTTGCCATGTTGCAATCGCTGCCGTTACAGGTAAACTACAATTTGGAGATCCAAATAAATGTTTCCATCTTCATAACGGAATCTCTCTCCAACGTGTGTGATAGACCCTTTCCCTTTAACTGTTTTAATTTCTTAGGCAATGGCTCCGATGCCTGGCTGCACCATGAAAATATTCTCTGGTGATCCGACTCGTCATCATGTCGCCGAGAATGTGAAAATAGGAGATCCATTGACACTTGTTATCAGTATAGATAAACAGGACATGTTTGGATTGAAGATTTCTGATTGCATTGTCAGAGATGGACTTGGATGGGGTGAGCAAAGGCTCATCAACGATGAAGGGTAAATATACCGCTTCAACAAAATTCGGACGTATTCGACTTCGAAAACGAAACCGATCCCATCTTATAGATATTTTAATGCTGATTTTGAATTTGAATTTGATTTTGAATTTGAGTTTTCGAGAAAAAAATGTTGAAATGTTGAGGAATAGCTAAAATGAACAATCTGAAAAATTTGTAAAAAAATGAATTTGGACGGAGTTCTCCCCAAAAAAACTATGAATTAATGAAAATGCGATTTGTTTGGTGGATTCGATTTCATCCCAATTGTTTGAGTCAAAACGAGTGAAAAAAATCCTGAAAAAGCCCCAATTTCATGATTTTTCTTGTGAAATCAAATAATCGGAAGTTGATTGCACACACTTTGATGTACGCCAATTTCAAATCTATCTAGACACGTGTGTTAAGCTCGACTTGACTTAACATGAAGTTTGAAGATGCCTTTTCTGCAAGGTAACCGGTTAATTGCTCTTATGAGAAGTCACTCTCAATTGTGGAGAGGTTTAGTTGCTGAAATAAAGTTGGAAAATGAAGAGATTAACGCACAAGGTTAACACACGTCTGTAGATAGATTTGAGACTAGCATGCAGCAAAGTGTGCGCATCCAACTTCCGGTCTTTTAATTTGACAAGAAAAATCATGAAATTTGGACTTTTTCGAGATTTTTTTCACTCACTTCGACTCAACCCACTTGGATGAACCCAAATGCACTGAATAAATTGCATTTTCATGAATTCATTGTATTTTTTCTGGCAAAAACTGAATCCCAATTAATTTTTTGTATAAATTTTTTAAATTGCCCTTTACAACACTTGAACATGTTTTTTCACGAAAACTAGACGTGCTAGAAAGATTTTCCCGAGAAAATTTAAATTCAGCAGGGATGACCAATAATATTAGATTTTGACAATGTTAAAAAGGTATTATCTCTTTATATTGTTCAAAGTTTAACTATATTTAACAAATTTAAAATATAAAATTTATTAACTAAATTTTCCGATTGATGGTGAATAAAATATTTGATAATATTGAAATATAATTTTTTAGTTAACAAGCTAATTCTAAATCTAGGTACTTGATTTTCGATTATCCAAATAATCGTCAATCTTCCTACCTAAATTATTGGTCAATAGAATATTGCAAAATTTGAATGTACAAATTGATGGTGACTTTAATATTTAAAATTTTCCAGATTTATGTTAAAAATTGACAACTTCACAATTTTGCGGTAATTATGATTGATGAATATGCCTCTCCCTGAAAATCAGCATCAAAATATCTATAAAATGGAGTCAGTCTCGTTTTTGAGGTCGACGACGTCCGAATTTAGTCGAACCATGAATTCAATTTGAATAAATTTCAACTTTTTCATTCACATTATGGGTATTGATTGCAGATGTCCAGTTGATGGTGAAATAATGGGTCAATTCACGTACAGCGAGGACAAAACAGAGGCACGAGTGAATTTTCAAGCCCACAAATTCCCTTACACTGCCTCTGTCTACTATCAATGCAATGTGCGACTCTGCACAACACATAGCGGCGGATGTTCAGATACGGTAATGATTGTTTTTTCGAGGAATATGTCAAGTTATTAAGAAGAGCGGTTTATTTTAGCCTCCGGAGTGCAATGAAGTAGGACGACGAAAGAGAGAGGCAACAGGTAGAGCCATTGATGATAAAGATTCAGTGGGATTCGATGGTACCCCAGCAACAATTGAGGTTTACAGTGGATTGTACGTTAATGAGGCGTCCGATCTTGGGGGAAAGACCGATCCAATTGACGATGTCTTTCGAGAAAGGGTAAATACATCAAATTCTAAATGATCATCTTCTTTAAAGGGAGACTACCATGAGTTTTTAAATTCGCAGGCGTGCACTGAGAGAAAAACGACAAAGTTCTCAAACAAGTTTCACTTGTGCCGAGAAAATCGTTTTTTAAAAATTATCAAAAAAGGATTTTTTTGTGCCAAACATGCGGAGAGTGCGCTGGAATGAAAAATTTTTGTTGCAAAAATAGATTTAGTAGTTAAAAAAAAATTGCATTCTCTGTACACGCAAGAAATGTCATTTCTAGCACTACTCCTTCGTTATTCGATACTCCCATACGTATTTTGCTCCCGAAAAATTTTTGTTTTATGCGAAACAAGGGATAGTAGCTTTTCGCTTCGACTGTCTAATATTCACAGACAAGAAATGAACCCTTAAGTGAAACAATAATAATGATATGATAGCAATCTTGTAACTTAGGCACAAAATATTTGTTGATAAATTTTCCTCTATATGAGATATTTTCATCCTGAAAAGGCACCGTCTGGTGGGAATTATCCGCCTCTTGAGCCAAACATTTCGTTGCGATTGAAAGCAGAACAATTATTCATGTTTGAGATTTTCAAATTCGAACCAAACAAATTCTTTTCTGGCAATTTTCAACTAGCGATTTTGTTTGTCCAAACAAGGACTTGTTTGACGCCGTTTTCGTTTTTCTCTCAGTGTGAGATTTATCATACATCGATTATATGTCTAAAAACGATTAGTTAGTGGAAAAAATGAATTTTTTGCTGTTCGTTTGCCCCGTAGACGCTTAGAAAGTTTGAAATATGGGATTGTAAATTGAATATTGAGCATATTTCTCTAAATTTCATAGAAGAGATTTTCTATTAACCAAATAATCGTCAATCCTCCGAACTCAATTATTGATTGATAAAATAATTCGGAATTTGGATATTTAATTGATGACTAATTTGATAATTTTAACTGATGAGGACTATCAGCAATTGACTTTTTCAAAACTTGACTTTATTTCAAATTTATGATTCTGCTGATGTCTGTCGAAAAAATTCTTTGGTTTTACGGAGAATTCGGAAGAACTCTTGAATTTTTTATAAGATTCTCAACTCTTCTGGAAAATTCAAAGGAATTCTCGGCTTAAAAAAATTGTTGTCGTTCCAATTGAGCAATATAGTTTCAAATTCTAATAAATTCGAAAAAGAGAAAATTGAATACCAGGATTTTTGAGGATTCCTGCAATCAAAAATAAGCATCTCAATGTTTTCGACCTTTTTAAAACACCCGAGAAGTCAAGAAAATTTGAGAATTTTCGAAAGAAAATTGAAAAAATTCTCGGATGTTCCCGAAAAGTTGAAAACACTAAGGTGTTTTTTTTTTAATCGCAGTTCTCAAAAATCCTGGTATTCGATTGTCTCTTATTATGCCACACAGCTAGTCTTAGGGAATAATTATTTAATTACAAAATTATGATTTCAGACAATCAACGATAGCGATGCAATTTGCATATCCCAACGTAGCTTCGCCATTGGCATTGCAATCGCTGGATTGATACTGATGGCAGCAGTGGTAGCAGCAATTTTAGTACTTCTAGCTAAAAGACGTCACAAGAACGTATCCACTACTGGCTCCTCCATCTACAGTGGCCCCTATACAAACACTGCCTACAGTCATAGCAGCTGAATAAATATTCCCATATTCTAATCTCCCTGATCAATTCAAGTAATCAAAGAATATTTTTAAAATCTACAGACTCAACATTTCCATTTTCCAAACTGAAATTCTTGTTTTTAGACAAATTTTTAAAAACAAAATTTGATTTTCTGTTATTCTCTTGCTCAAGCTTTGCCTTGCATTAATACTCCTCTAGTGCCGTCAATGAAAAAAATGGGGGAAGAAGGTGAAGATCTTAGTTTTTATACAGCCCAGTCGAATGGCCGTTCTTACCTCTGTTAACAAGAATATTATTTTTTAGTAATTGATTTATTCATTTGACTTTTTTCCTCTGGTCTGGGCTCGAGTATCCTCATTGAGGAAGATATCTTGTCTTCATTACGATAAGGCTTTTCAATTGATTAGGTCAATTAGATTGGGAAAAACAATCGAGAAAACGATACTTTAGTTGTTTTTTCCAATTATTTTTCCCTCATGAAACTGAGACAAAAAATTATTTTTAGATAGAGAAAATGGAAGAAATTTGGATTTTTTTCTGTTTTCAAAGCGACAAAAAATTTATTAGTTTAAAAAAATGGAAATTATTGCCATTTCGCCAGCGTGAATAATTATTTGATAAAAAAAATAGATTAAAATTGTAATTGGGGACTCAATGGGTGATGGGTAAATCAGGTCATTAATTACTGCTTTAAAGATTAAAAATGTGAGGAATAATGGAAGAGATTTTCAATTTTTCCTCCATTTTTTCTTTTAATAGGATAAAAAGTGCAATATCAAGGAGACAATATGAGTGGGAGGACCACAACCTTGACGTTGGTTCACAGTGACATTGGAGATGAAATAAGTAAATTGGGAGGTGAATTTGTTTTTTTGGGTTTTTAGGATTTTTGAGAAGGTGAGGGGTGGTTACAGTCAGTTAAAAATCTTATAATGTCGCTCTGTACCCTCGTCAACCACTTTATGTAGCATTCAATGACTATTTTTTGTAAATAACGAGGTAATAAAAATATCATTCCTATCTTTGATGATTGTTAAAACTGTTCTTCTTTCACCCAATATTCGAGAGATGTTTTTGACCCGTGAGCCATACGGGATTTTGGTTACCGGTCAAAATAACACCCGTCAATTTCAACGAAGAGATTCAACACATGCATAATCAACACTTGACAATTTAACATACACAAATTTAACATGTGCGTAGTTGTGTGTGCGTGTGTTTTTTTTTCGCAGATCCGTCAAGTTGGCAGTCCTAGCTTCTCAAATCTAGTCCAAAATTTGCACAAAATTAGGCGCTTTTTGGGGCCAATTTTGTTTTTTTGGTGCTCTTATAGGATTTCTCAAAATTGCGTTTTTTCAGTTTGAGCATCAAGTTAGCATGAAAAGTGGGGAAGAAAGCGATTTAAAAAAATCAAACCTAGGGGATAATTAAACGCTTTTTAGGTGCTCTCGGATACTGGAGAGAGCTTTTTTCTCAAGGGTTTTAGGAAAAATGCCTACGCACGACAGTGGACTTTTGTCACACCCCGTGTCGGGCCTGTCCCGACCAAAAACCTCACCTCGTAATTCAATAGCGAAGTGGTAAAACGCGTTAAGTCAATTTTAATTATTGGCCAGCTTTCAATGAATATCTCGGAATCTAAGGGAGATGGCAAAATTTTTATTATAACCTTTTTTGTAGAGCCGATTGAGACCTACAACAAATATAATTACAAAAAATTCGCTATCTCCCTTAGGCCCGGTTGCACTCGCTCCCCTTAACGAAAACGTCAGATAAGAAAAAAAGTAAATTTGGATGTTCGACGGATGATTTTACCCGGGAGAGTATCTCAAATTTATCCCAGGAACAAAAAATAAAATTTAATCCCAAGGCTAAAGCAGTGTTAATTCAAAAGGGGCTACAGGATGAATAAAAAATTATTCTTCGGGTCAAATATTAAAAAATTATGACCCCTATGATATAATTGACCCCGAGGATAAATTTTACCCTGGGGTTTATTTGGATAACAGGGCTTGGTGCAACCGGGTCGAAGATTCAAAAATATTCCTCAAAAACTCAACTGGGAGATAAGTCGACTTAGACCGTTTTACCACTTCGCTACTGAATTCTTCTGACCTTTGATTTTCTCGTTAAGTATTACTTCGCAAGGGAGGTTTAAGCTTTTTTGCTCCTTCACTTTGTTTCCATCTAGTGTACGTCCCCCTGTCTCACTAAGGTGTTGGGTGTGGGCAGGGGGATCCAATAGATTCGTCTATTCTGCAGCTTTGTGTGTGTGTTTGAATTTGGAGATAGTAATTGAGGGATTAGTAACAGGATCACTCAGAGTATTCGACTAGTTGGATCATCGGAGTAATTGAAATTTGAATTAGTATTTTCTTGGGAGTTGATTTCAAAGAAACTGTGAAGTGTCGTGTAGTGTGATATTATTTTGTTGTGATTTGTTTAATTGTGATTTGATATAAATTTGTTGAATTTGCCAATTTACTGATTCATGTGTTCTCATTTATTGATGCAATTCATTGTATTGTTGTTCATATTTTTTTGATTTTTCAGGAAATGAATTCCCATGCGAAAAGTAAATATTTATTGATTTTCAAGACTGTGTTGATAATTGCGTTGAAATTGTGTCGAATTTGTTTTTGAATTTACGTGTTTCATTTTGACATGTAATCGGGATTTTTAATAATTTCATGAGATGAGGGAATTTTTCTTTCAATTGCTTTAATTTTTTCTTTTCTTGAAAATATGAATAATATTTATGTATATAATATAACAAGAGATATAATTAGACAAATATCAGTATGTTCATGAGTCCCGCATATTTAATATTTTATTATATTTTCGTCAATATTTCATTTTTTTTCTAATCCATTTTCGCCGGATCGTTATAATCCCGCAACTTTCTTTCTCAGTTATAATTGTATATTTGTTTGCTGACTTTTCATGAAAAATAGTTGATTCGGTGAATTGAAAAAAGAAGAGACGCTGAATCGATGTTACATCAAAAATAATCCTTTTTCTCGTGAGGCAAAATGAGGAAAATTCTTGTTTTTTTCCCTTATACATTATATACTTTTTCGTTTGTTTCTATTAATCTGTGCGAAAAAAATAATTTTATTCTCATTAGGAACATGAAATACATTCATCGTCGAACTTTTCTGTTCTGCCTATATATTTATATATATATTTTTTTGTTTCATTGAGATTTTTTAATTTCGATGCAGCTGCCTAAATTTAACAGTATGTTGCACAAATAGACATTTCATTGAGAACATCAGAATAAAACTTTGCTGGAAGAATCGAGTGTTCATTAATTCTTTGAATCTCAATAAAATTTATAATTATGCAACAATCTGCCCCTAAATCCCTAAACTTTAATTATGCAAAATTTATCCTCATAACAATATTTTCCTCCTCTACAACAATGCAATATTGTTTTTTCATGTGTCAAGAAAAAAAGCCAGAGTCCGAATTATTTACAATTTCTAACAAAGAGAAAAAAAAATGTTTTAAACTTGCATCCTGTTGCATTGCCATTGCCAATATGAAGGAATAATAAGGAGACATTTGATGAACTAAAATAGTAAAACTGATATCAATAAAATTTCACTGAATTTCCTGAGAAAAATGTAAAAAAACAAGGCGGAATGCGACTTAATCCTAAATTACCCGCAGATCCTGTTTAATCATTATTTCTTCCATAACTAATGCAATAAATTATTTCACAACTTTTCTTAGACATTTCCGGCGGTGAGCGAAGTGAATTCATTGAATGAGCATTTCTTTTCTTTTATTTGTGTTTTTGCTTTCTCCCCACTGCACACGACAACATTATGACCTTGAAATTGTGATATTTAATGACATCATCGATTAAGACATACGAACTAATATTTTTCATTTTCCTCGTTCAACTGCTAATGTTCTATGCCCATTTGATCATTTGAAAAATGAATGTTAGAAAAGAGATGGGGCAAAACGGATTACCATTATCGATGGTCAGGGAAATTGATGATTCTATTCACTAAAATTTCATACAGTTGACTCTACTATTGAAGAAATTTTTGGGAATAACGGAGCAAAGTAGATTTGACTATAATAAATAAAAACTGACACTGAAATGGGCGATCATGGAAAAAAAGACTATTATAGTCGACCACAAAAACAAGACTGTCCCCATTTTATAGACATTTTGATGTTGATTTTGAATTTCGTTGGAAAAATGTTTTTAGCACGTCTAGTTTTCGTGAAAAAAATGTTGAAGGGTTGAAAAGTGGTTGAAACAGGAAATTGAAGGAAGTTTTTCCCAGAAAACATACAATGAATTAATGACAAAGCAATTTGTTTAGTACATTTCGGTTCATCCCAATTGGTTGAGTCGAAGTGAGTGAAAAAAATCTCGAAAAAGTCCAAATTTCATGATTTTTCTTGTATTGGTTGCGCACACTTTGATGCATGTCGATCTCACATCTATCCACACACGTGTGTTGTGTCTAGACCTTGTGCGTTAATCTCTTCATTTTCCGACTTCACTTCAGCAACTAAACCTCTCCACAATTGAGAGTGACTTCTCATAAGGGCAATTAACCGGTTACCTTGCAGAAAAGGCATCTTCAAACTTCATGTTAAGTCAAGTCGAGGTAAACACACTTGTCTAGATAGATTTGAAATTGGCGTGCATCAACGTGTGTGCAATCATGAAATTGGGACTTTTTCAGATTTTTTTTCACTCGTTTTGACTCAACCAATTGAGATGAAATCGAATCCACTAAAAAAATTGCATTTTCGTTAATTCATAGTTTTTTCTGGGAAAAACTACGTCCAAATTCATTTTTTTTCAATTTCTCAAATTGTTCATTTTAGCCATTTTTCAACATTTTAACATTTTTTGTCTCGAAAACTAGACGTGCTGAAAAAATTTCTGAAACGAAATTTAAAATCAGCATTAAAATATCTATAAGATAGGATCGATTTCGTTTTCGAGATTGAATACGTCCGAATTTTGTCAAGCCGTGTTATCAATCAATTAATAATGTTCATCATTAAAAATAACGAGGCACACAAATATTAAGTACATATCCATAACTCGTCAGAAGCGTTGTTGTTTTCTTGTAATTCACTTTTTTCTTCATTATCTGGATGGATTCTCATTAATTATTAGTATTCTCTAGTTGTTTTGTTCAATCAAAAATTTGCAAAAAAAGAATCATATGTTTACTAATTAGATAGTTTTATCTATCAACTTTTATCTTTATTATGATGAACTAGACATATAGGACTAGATACTGATTACATGTACGTTAAAAAGTGAGAAAAAAAATTGATTGGGTAAACGCAATCAGTAAACTATTAACGAGGTTTAACTGTTTATTGTTGTATAATAAAAGTTAATTGGCCTATTTTTCTGTCTTATCACCACTTTGATATCACTAGAAACTGTTTATTTTCCTCGAATGATAATTAAATTTTCATGTTCATCGACTATTGCAATCAAATATAATCAACATATTTTCATTAATTCATGTCAGAGGACAATTCAGAATTTATTTGGCCTATTGTAGATTCGTTTGTTGATAAAAAAAAAAAAAATTATGGCAAACAATGGGGGAAAAAATGTGAAAGAATTTCGTAACTGTTAATACATACGAATAATCGCTCATCGTTTTCCTCACTCTTATCTTTTCCTTCTCGTTCATTATTCTTCTATCTTTATCGTACAACTTTCGTTATCTCTTTAAATATTTCGCACTTCATAATTATTTATAACATTATTTAATTCCTCTGGGTATCCTGCCTCAGGTTAATCACGTTTTACTTTGTACGGTGTTATTACTGCTTCATTTTTTTTTTCACGGTTTGGTTAATTTTATCGTTTAAAAATTCTTCTTACGGTGACTCGGTGATCTCATTGGCTAGTAGTGTGTCACGTGGTTTCGACGGGTGATTGTCACCTTCACGGTCCCTGAAAGGGGGTGATGTCGATTAATTAGTCATCAATGAACATCCATTTCAGTCTCTGGAGATACTGATGACAAATTTTCATGGGAATCTCTCCAAAAATATGATCCAAGAAATTATCTAAGCAAAATAGGTCACATGAAGCCAGACACAAACGTCTAATAATCGAATACATGGGCTTACAAAAATATCAAATAAGTACACTGAGAGAAAAACAAAAACATTGTCAAGTTTTGTTTGGGCCAACAAAATCGCTAGTTGAAAATTGCCAAAGAAGAATTTGTTTGGTTCGAATTTGAAAGTCTCAAACATGAATAATTGTTCTGCTTTCGACAGCAACGAAATATTTGGCTCAAGGGGGGGATAATTCACACCAGACAGTGCCTTTTCAGGATGAAAATATCTCATACAGAGGAAAATTTATCAACAAATATTTTGTCCCTAAGTTACAGGATTGCTATCATATCATTATTATTGTTTCATTTAAGGGTTCATTTCTTGTCTGTGACTATTAGACAGACGAAACAAAAAACCACTATGCCTTGTTCCGCATAAAACAAAGATTTTTCGGGAGCAAAATACGTATGGGAGTATCGAATAACGAAGGAGTAGTGCTAGAATAGTATTTTTCTGTACTGCTTCTCACGATTTCTCGTCTGGGAATTGGTATTACATACTTCCCAAACACGAAAACTTGAAAATCACTACAGAAAAATATTGTTCCTGGGCTGTTGCGATGGGGTTTTTTTACTCGTGTGGTTGGCCAGTCCTCGCCTACGGCTCGGAGACCAACGCCACACGAGTAAAAAACCCCATCGCAACAGGCCGGAAAAATACTATTTCGATACGATTGAGGGAAAGTGTAATTCGTAGTATTTTTGGGCTCGTGGAACGTTTATAGCACGACCCGAAGGCGAGTGATATAATCCCACGAGTCTAAAAACACTTTTCCCGCGAGTATCGAACCCTATTTTTCATCACAATGTGTGGGAAGTGGGGTTTTGCGCACGCGGAGCGTGCGTAAAATGTCACTTTACACACAGCGTGATGAAAATGACATTTCTTGCGTGTACAGAGAATGCATTTTTTTTCAACTAATAAATCTATTTTTGCGACAACAATTTTTCATCCTGGCGCACTCTCTGTATGGTTGGCACAAAAAAATCCTTTTTTGATAATTTTCAAAAAACTATTTTCTTGGTAGAAGTAAGAATTGTTTGAGAATTTTGTCGTTTTTCTCTCAGTGTAGGAGCAAATTCACGTAAATTAGCAGGCCGAGAAAGTCGGTGCTGGGGATTTTTGTCTCAATTTTTTATGAAAAGATGACGATTGGACAAAAATTTTTGAAAAAAGAAAAATTGAAAACTATGGATAATTGAGGCAGTTATGATTTTTTGAAAACGGCTAGTTTTTGTACAAAAATATTTATTTTCCAAATTGGCCTCAATATTTTTGCGGCCTCAAAGAACATGAAAATCCCTTCGAAATAAGACGTCATACGAAGAATTATCATCAGTTTCACGGGATTTATACGAGAAAACGTTTTTTTTTTCAATCGTGAATTACTAAAAAAGGCTAATTTGTTTAAAATCTGAAATTTTCACAAAGAATTGTCAATAAAATGAAAGGAATTTTGGCTCCAATTAGAGTTTGTCTTCCACTGTAGTTTGGCGGTTATAATTTTTTTCAGTGGGACAAGCAATGAAAATGAGCGAAAATCGCTATTATTCATGTAATTATCCCTCAAATGAGTGAATAATCAATTGAATAATTAAAAATGAGTCAATTCAATTAAATTCTCGATTACCAACAAATGAAAGCTCTTTAGACAATGTATAATTAGAGAAATAATAATATTTCACTCAAAAAATCACAGTGAAGATGAATACAGTAGTGAAGCGGTAAACCGAGTTAAGTCGATTTTGACTATTAGCCAGTTTTTGTTGAATATCTCGGAATCTAAGAGAGATAGCAAAATTTTTCTCATGACTTTTTTTATAACGCTCTATTAGCTCTACAAAAAAGGTCATGACAAAAATCTTTCTATCTCTTTTAGATTCCGAGATATTCGTCAAAAACTAGCCAATAGTAAAAAACGACTTAACCCGGTTTACCGCTTCGCTACTGAATAATAGAAGATATAATGAGTCTAACCTCCACCATTTGCTAATATTTAATTGAACATTCACTTATTTGGGCGATAATTGCATGATAAATAGCGATTTTCGGTCATTTTCAATACTAGTCTCAATAATAAAATTAATAACCGCCGAACTATGGTGAAAGACAAATTCTAATTGGCGCCAAAATTCTTGACATTTTATTGACAATTTTTGGTGAAAATTTCAGATTAAAGAAAAATTAGCTTTTTGAGTAATTAACGATAAAAGAACGTTTTCTCGTATAAACCCCGTCAAACTGAAAATAATGTTGTGTGACGTCTCATTTTGAAGGGTTTTTCATATTCTTTGAGTGTGCCAAAGGGCGATTTGATACCTTGAAATCCCGCAGAGATATTGAGACCAATTTGGAAAAGAAAATTTTTTGGACAAAAACTAGCAATTTTCAAAAAATCATAACTCCCTCAATTATCCATATTTTTCAATTTTTCTTTTTTTTCAATTTTTGTCTAATCGCCATTTTTTCAGAAAAAACAATGAGACGAAAATTCCCAGCATCGACTTTTTTGTCGTGGATCTACTCACAGATATTTGAAAATAATTGCAGAAATTTGTGTTTTATAATGTGTTTAATGTACCTTATGTCATATTGCCTTCCATCGGTTTTGCTTTCATGAGAAGAGACAAAAAAAATATTCACAGTAAATAATTCATTTGCGTACTCAATTTCACACAAAAATTCAAACATAAATTGAGCTACTGGAAATAACGTAAAACAATGATAAATAGAAACATGATGACAAGAAAATAGAAATGCAACGATAAATGGTCAAACATTGTCACAATAAAAATCAAGAAAATTGTTGAATGAAGCAAGAAGATTCTATTTTGCATTTTTTTTCTCAACCCTCTTAATGCACTGAACAATCCCTTAAAAAGGGCAGAAAAATAATTTTTTTTCGCTAAATAATATTCTTAATTCATCCAACAGAAAAAAAATGTTGTGCATGATATTTTTACCTTCTCGCATGTCTTTGGGCGGGTTGGATGATATAGAGGGCATGGAAGGAACTTGATAGACATTGGGCCTTACGCCAGTTGGTGGTAGAGTTGTGATTTTGGACCTAACAAACATTGACATTTACATCTGACACATAACGAAGAAAAAAATAAATGAAAATATTTCATTTAAATTAACGAGAGAATTTTCTACATCTTCTTTGGTATAAAATTGTCAAATGTGAGACAATTGCACGAGTAATGACATTATCGCCGAAATAAAAATTGAAGAAAATCGGGAGGAAAATTGTTCGATTGAAAAAATTAGGCATTTGAGGGTGCAAAACTGTGACTAATCAATGATGAAAACATTTTTGTTTTAATTAATAGGAGAAAAAAATGTCTAAATGTCTAAAGATAAAAATTTTTTCAAAATTTTACCTTTGTTTTCGTATTTTTTGGCCTCGACCATCAAAGGAATTGGGTGTGGGACATCCAGACGTGTTGGAGGAGTATGAAGGTGGTCTGAATGGGCGTGGACAGCCTTGAACGATGGGTGGTGATGGCACTGGTGCATACTGGAGGCGAGAGTTGCCAGGATGCATCAGTCTGATATCCCCTGGAATCAAAGACACATCTTCTTTTTAAGGGGAAACGGAACCCCTGCGGTTATATAAATCTTTCGAATTGTGTTTTCTCCTGCAATTATTATTTTTTATTAATTAAACTACGTCATTGACTCAACAATGCGATAATCGAGTCGATAAAGTAATTTCATAAATAGAAATTAATAATTGTAGAAGAAAACACAATTCGAAGATTTGATGTAGATAAAGGGGTTCCGTCTCCCCTTAAATACAGTAAATTTGTTGCCGATTCTTTGGCCGGAATTCATGCAAAAACGACTAAATGGACTTCCATTCAGTAGCGAAGTGATAAAACGGTACAAGTCAATTTTGACTATTGACGTGTCTTCAATGAATATCTCGGAATCTAAGAGAGATAGCAAACTTTTTGCTATAACCTTTTTTGCAGAGCCGACTGACAGCTACAACAAATGTAGTTGCGAAAATTTCGCTATCTCCCTTAGATTCCGAAATCTGCCGCAAATATTCAATTGGGAGATAAGTCGACTAAAACCGTTTTACCACTTCGCTACTGAATTATATTTTTACTATTACATAATTTCGGGTCCCCAATCGGCCTTAGGCTATAAGTTATTGCGCCTTGGTACAATAACTTATAGCAAAATTTTTTAGATGAAAAAGAAGATTCTCTAGAGTTTTCTAAAAAATATTAATCATATTTATTTAAAAACTAAGTAAGTAAGTAAGTAGTAAGTAGTTACTAAGTAAGTTATTTTTGAGAAAAAAAAGAAGATTTTCTAGAGTTCTCTAAAAAATTTTCTAGAAAATTCAGAGAAATTCTCGGGTTTTCTAAAAAAAAATTTTTTGTTCCAATCATTATTATTCAAACATTTATGAATAATTAGCTGTGTTGGCAGAATAAGACAAAATTGAGTACCAGGATTTCTGAGAATTCCTACAATTAAAAAAACAAGTGGAAAATTGCTCTTGTACTGCATATAGTATAGATATTTTTGCTAATAAATTAGCAATATGCTTCTGAATAAATCTTTTGCACATAATTACCTTCTACCATGTATAATTCATTACTTATTTGATTTTACTAATTTTGTCAGATTTTCAACTTCGTTGAATGTTATCATCATCATTATTCTTATTATCCCGTTCTTTTATACAACCGATTATCTTTTTTTACAATTCTATCTCTCCCTTAAGCCCTTCGATAGAATGAATTTAAAACATTACATTTGAAGAAACCATCAGAAAGCTCACTTTCAGGGAAATTTATGAAAAATTCGAAATTTCCAACAATCATCATAAAAATTAAATCAACCGATGTAGCTATCGTAATCATCTTTCAACTTCGACTTAATGGCATTAAAACAAACATTTTGAGTTATGATTAAATTAATTTGAGGCATGATATTCAAAGATATACCCGGAATTCTGATTTCCAAAAAATACAAAATTTCTGCAAATTTTCAAATAAATCAAAATAACAATTATTGCTATCACCTTCATCTTAGGATTCGGTCAAAAGGACATCCAAAAAATTTTTTAAGCCATCATTCAATCAAATCAGAAGTTTTTTTTCAGTTATCGTGGGACAACCGATTTTCAAAAAAATTCAAAAATTAATAAAATTAATAGATGAATTAAATTCTAGTTAATGGCGATCGATAGGGCTCAACAATACCTCAATAATTCCATCCTTTCGATACCGAACAATTTAAGAGAAACTTTGTTACTTTGAAAAACCCTCAAATTTTCTCGACTTCGAGTGTTCTAAAAATTTTTTCTTCTCGTATACCCTTTCGAGTCTTTACGATTTATTCCCTTCCCACCCCCAACCCCCTGTACCGCATTCGCCGAAGAACAAGGGAAAACCTCATTTGAGGAAAAAAACTGCCCAGGTACCGTCGTCTCTTGCGAGACTCGCGCTCGACAATGAAACCGTGAGATTTAGAGTGTCACAAATTTTGCCCCCCAACCGGGAATCGAACCCGAGTCTCCCGCATGCCAATCTCACACTCTAACCACACAGCCACCGCCGTCAGTTCGAAAGTTCTAAAAAAGTCGAAAACATTGAGATGTTTTTTTTTTAATTGCAGAAATCCTTAAAAATCCTGGTATTAAATGTTCTCTTATTCTCCCAGGACGAGGCCGGGCGACACAGCTAGTTAATGAAATAATTCATCATTTCACTTTCCATCATCCTCACCATACCTTGTACGATATGAAGACCCTGATACATTGGCAGTGGATAACGGGATTGTGCTTGTCCATTTCGGTTATCCCCATTGACAGCTCCGCCATGGCCATTGCCATTACCATTGTTTCCGCCGTTAACGTTAACATTATTGTTGTTAAAAAATTCATGGGCTGGAGTGGGTGATCTGCTTGCTCTCTGGGAGCCGGAGGGGGTTGAAGCTCGAATGCCCGTCGTCATCATCTTTAATGAACAATATTCAATAATTTATAATTTTATGCACTCAATTATTTATCAGTATTGACCATTACTTACAGGCATATTTTGTCTAAATACAAGATTTGGCAGAATTGAAGGGGCCATATAAGCACCTGTTGGTCCTGGAGGTCCTGTATTTGGTACTTGATGTCCGAATGATCCTGCCATCATTGTTGGTGGTCCATACGTTGCTGAATTTACATACATGACAGGTACACCTGGTACCTATTGAAAACGACATAAAAATAATAATAATAAGAATAATACTAATAACACAATTCGAGGAAATTCGAACGTATTCGATCTCGAAAAGGAAACCGACTCCATCTTATAGACATTTTAATGCTGATTTTAAATTTCTTTTGAGAAATCTTTCTAGCAGGTCTCATTTTCGAGCAAAAAAATTTTGAAATGTTGAAAAATGGTTAAAGTGAACAATTTGCAAAATTGATAAAAAAATGACTTGAACCATTTGACCACTTCACTACTGATTTTTTTTCAGCGAAAACTAAACGTGCTGGAAAGATTTTCCAAAAGAAATTGAAAATCAGCATCAAAATGTCTATAAAATGAGGTCAGTCTCGTTTTTGAGATCGACTACGTCCGAATTTTATCGAACCGTGGAGCGAAATTTTTGCAAGATCTTTTTCGATGTTTCGTCTTCACTTTGTTTATAAAAATGATTTTTAATAAAATTTTGCCAATTCCGTTAGAATTTGAGATATTCATTGAGAACTGGCGCTAGAATGGAATTGACTTAAACCGTTTGACCACTTCACTACTGCTTTTTTTTCAACGAAAACTAAACGTGCTGGAAAGATTTTCCAAAAGAAATTGAAAATCAGCATCAAAATGTCTATAAAATGAGGTCAGTCTCGTTTTTGAGATCGACTACGTCCGAATTTTATCGAACCGTGGAGCGAAATTTTTGCAAGATCTTTTTCGATGTTTCGTCTTCACTTTGTTTATAAAAATGATTTTTAATAAAATTTTGCCAATTCCGTTAGAATTTGAGATATTCATTGAGAACTGGCGCTAGAATGGAATTGACTTAAACCGTTTGACCACTTCACTACTGCTTTTTTTTCAACGAAAACTAAACGTGCTGGAAAGATTTTCCAAAAGAAATTGAAAATCAGCATCAAAATGTCTATAAAATGAGGTCAGTCTCGTTTTTGAGATCGACTACGTCCGAATTTTATCGAACCGTGGAGCGAAATTTTTGCAAGATCTTTTTCGACATTTCGTCTTCACTTTTCTTTATAAAAATGATTTTTAGGAAAATTTTGCCAATTCCGTTAGAATTTGAAATATTCATCGAGAACTGGCGCTAGAATGGAATTGACTTGAACCATTTGACCACTTCACTACTGCTTTTTTTTCAACGAAAACTAAACGTGCTGGAAAGATTTTCCAAAAAAATTGAAAATCAGCATCAAAATGTCTATAAAATGGGGTCAGTCTCGTTTTTGAGATCGACTACGTCCGAATTTTATCGAACCGTGTAATCAATTAATCATCATATTCAAGAGGATAAATCTTTGAAACCCACTTGATTGGACGTTGGTGTATTAGGCGGTGTAGGTACCCTCCACATAACCGGTGGTGGTTGAATAGCCGGTTGTCCAGATGAATAATAAGTTGGTACCATGTGCAATGGGCTATGGTATGAATAATCGGCAGGATTAGGTGCAACAGTTGGCATTGAATTATATGATATTGGCCCATAACCATTTACGTAATTCGGCGCTGTCTGATTTGGTGGTGTCATTGGTTGTGGATTGTAAGTATAACCAGGTGGGAATCGTTGATGCTGATGCATCGCTTGTCTGTCATTTGGTGTCTGACCGACAGAGACTGGTGGTGGACCTGATGGTGGAACGAAGTACATCGTATGCTGTGGCTGAAAACAACAAAATTAGATATCGAAAAAAATTGACAGCATTGCACGGAGAGAAATTTTCTAGAAAAATTCTAGTACGAGTACTGGAAAAAATCACAATCCACCGGCTGTGAAAAATTCTAGTACTGTTAAGGTAAATTTTCTCGATATTTCTGGTAAAATTTCTGGGCATTTTCATGAAATTTTCACAGAAATACCGGGAAAAATTCACGTTTTCCCTGGATTTCCACTGGAATTTTTTCCTGGCCGTCACTTTGCGCCTCTTTTCCCGTGCTAGCACTAGAATTTTTCTAACAAATTTCCCTCCGTGTAATTCCGAAAAGACTTTATGGGAGCATTCAACAATTACGTCAAGCTTTTAAGGGGGAGGAAAATTGACAGCATTACACGGAGAGAAATTTTCTAGAAAAATTCTAGTACGAGTACTGGAAAAAATCACAATCCACCAGCTGTGAAAAATTCTAGTGCTGTTAAAGTAAATTTTCTCGGTATTTCTGGTAAAATTTCTGGGAATTTCCGTGAAATTTTCACAGAAATACCGGGAAAAATTCACGTTTTCCCTGGATTTCCACTGGAATTTTTTCCTGGCCGTCACTTTGCGCCTCTTTTCCCGTGCTAGCACTAGAATTTTTCTAAAAAATTTCNAAGCTTTTAAGGGGGAGGAAAATTGACAGCATTACACGGAGAGAAATTTTCTAGAAAAATTCTAGTACGAGTACTGGAAAAAATCACAATCCACCAGCTGTGAAAAATTCTAGTGCTGTTAAAGTAAATTTTCTCGGTATTTCTGGTAAAATTTCTGGGAATTTCCGGGAAATTTTCAGCTATAATACCCCAAGACCCTCAAAATTATCGGATATTTCCCGAATGTGTTGTTGCATAGCAACGAGAGGGATCAGTATTACAGAATGAAATCCCGAGCGCGCAGCGCGAAGGATTTTACTGCAAAGCCCCCGACTTATACGTTTTGCATCAAAGTAGTACATACTATTTTTGATGATATTCGAATTCTAACGTTATACCAATCATTACCAAACCATTTTAAGGATAATCGGGCGAGCCCGGAGCGTTAGAAAAAAAGCAGCCATTTTTTTCTTCTTTTTACGTACTCTTTAAATGACGGAAAAGACGTGTGCAAAGTTTCAGACTGCTGGGGAGCATGGTTAATTTATTATGAATTTTTGAAAAAGTGGTCATTTAAACCGTGATCTTATGGAAATCACAAAAAAAAACTGCAAAACCCAAGGAAAAAAAAATCACCGACGATGTTGCCACTTTTTCGCTTCGATTAGTAATTTTTATTTATTAAAAAAAAGAACAGTCTGAAAACCATTCAATGCGTGGAACAGATACAAATAAATTTCATTAGCTCCAAAAATAATTTTTAACCGGAGATACTCCCTGATATTGCATTTTGAATCCGAATGGGAAAAATTTTTTTCTTCAACAATTGGTTTTCTGCAGGAAAACAATACACGGAGAGAAATATTCACTTGTAATACCACAAGAGCTTCAAAATTATCGGGTATTTTCCGATAGGTTCGAGTGATTTTTCCTGAAAAACTTGACGACTTCGTTTGTATGCAGGGAGCCTTGAGGAAAATGCCCGATTAATTTTGAAGCTCGTGTGGTATTCGGGGGATTATTTTTCCAATCCAAATGTCGGGCAATATAATTGGACCATGAGACGAAACTCACAATTGAGAAACGAAAATTGTATAATTAACACTCATTTCGAATAAAAATCCTCAGATTACCACAATTGAATTCAATCTGTCAGTTTGACGAGGGGTTAATTCGACTGCATGATGTTTTGTTTTTTATATAGCAACTACCAGAGAAAATTATCAAAAAATTATCAGTTGAAAACCCTGTAGCTTGTACCACGTGATGTCGAATGGGCCAATTATATTGCCCGATATTTGGGTTGGAAAAATAATCAATAAAAATTACGTATCTTTTCCGTAATTTCGGAGCGAAATGTGGTTGTAGGAAATTTTACGGAACTGTCACGGAATTTCCTGTAAAAAATTACGATACCGTCACTTAAATTTTCTGAGTCGATTCCGCAATCGGTGATTGAATTGTGAGTTCCGTAATATTTACTGAACCTTTCTCTCCGTGTAGAAACCCCTCCGCCTCACCTCCGACATTTCTTCCTCGCCCGATTATCCTTAAAGATGGTTTTGAATACTAGATGTCGAACAAATGAATTGACCCCGTTAACTATGCTTTACCCCCAAAATGACCCCCCATATTGAAACCATAGACGCATCCACGTCAAAAAGCGTGACGTAATGATTGAATACTCCCAATGTAGAAAACTCACCGGCATAGGATTGGCATGTTGTCCATGCTGCTGTTGCGACGGTGGCACCGGTGGAGGTGGGGGTGGAGGTGGTGGTGGCGGGGGTGTTGGTGGTGGTGGTTGCCAGTATCCCTGTCCATTGTGCGCATTGCCCTGTATATGGGGTGGTTGTGATGTCGGTAGTGGTGGTGGTGGTGGTGGTGGAGGTGGTGGCGGTGGTGGAGGAGCACTGAAGCCATGGGTTGGCGTTCCCTGCGCCTCGCCACCACTCCTAGGTCCCTCATAAATGTTCATCCCCATGAAGTAGCCGGACAGCTCCGAGATATCGCTCGTCTGTGGATGGCATGTTTGGTGCATTGCCATTGTCGAATAATTTCCATAAACACTGTTCTGCCCAAAAACAATATCCGCTGGTGGTGGGGGAACGTGTACCGGGCCCTGGCCCACACCCTGCTGTCTCTGCATGACAATCGCCTGATCAGAATAAACCGGGCTCTGATTGTAACTCACATCCACACTATTCTGCTGCGAGAAATTGGCATAATTATGACCCCCGTGGTTGCACACCTGGGCATCAGTTGTTTTGATAGCAACGTGTGAGCACTCTTGAATCACCGGTGGAGGACTGACATTGAATGGCGGCGTTGGCGATGTAGCAGTATTCGTAACTCCCCTTGCACTACTCTTGGGCGAATGTTTTCGCTTGGAGTTGTGATTAGAATTAGCCCTAGGGGACTCAGTGACACTTCCCTCAGCAGGACTCTCGCATATATCCGCCATATCGGAGAATATTTTCGGTGGATTATCGGGATCAAAGCGATAAATTGATCCATCGGAATTTGTGTACGGCTGATTAGTACGAGGATTCATTATTATTGAACCTGCAGGTACACTCGAAATACTGGATACGGCCCACATTACCGTTTGACTTCCTTGAGATCCATCAATTGACGTAGAATTGTGACTAGTCTCTTTGTGATTACACGGTAGTGTGGGAATTGGTGAGGGTGATGGTGATGGCGATATGGTGGCATCACTTCTTTGGCTTTGGCTCTTGTAACCACTCGAGGAGGGACTGAGTCTCGAGCAAACACTTGCGCCAGAGTCCTGTTTAGTGAGTCTAGCCCCAGCGCTTCTTGTCGACGAGACACTGTCACCCCTGACAAGCATTCCCCGAGTATAGCCACCAAAGCTGAATGACTTTGACACCGAGGGTCTGAGAACGCCGCTAAAGTTTTCCCCACCATCGCAGGACTCGCCCTTTAACAAACGCGCTCGCATTGAATTATGATCACCCGGATGCAGCAGACGATAGCGTGCTGAGACATCTGAGCTCTCCGAGGATGACCAGTACGGCCACGAGGTGACTTCGCTCTCACCACTGCTGTCCTTGAAGATTCTCCTCCTCACCTTCTCGTACTCCTCCTCTCTCTCCTCGAAGGACTTGCTTCGTCTGCAGTAGTCCCCGGACATTCGGTCAGGTGATTTGAAATTGAAGCAGCCGTCTTCAAAAGAATTCGAATCCCTCTTCAGAATACTGCGACGGGGCTCCTCAGTCAGGAGAAGATCATCCCTTATGTGCTCCTTAAATCGCGTATCCGGAATTCTCATGTTCTTGGTACGCGTTACAATTACCGACAGCCCCGACTGATCAACATTGTGCTCCATTCCGAAATAAGCCGCCACACGGTGCACCAGCATTCGATTGTACGACGACATGTTGGGAAATTTGTGGCAAACTTTCTGACGATCTTTGGCGAATTCTATCAGCTCCTTCTCGATCTTCAGTAGGACAGATCGGTCCTTTTGATTGCGATTTATCGTCACCGCGATAAATTGCTCGAGATCAATTCCCGTGGAGTCTGTGTACAACTCCGTACTGCTGTCACGCGACAGACATGGCGATACATTTGAGTCCAGGCTACTGCTGTTTTGGTAACTGGGGTGACGCAATTTGTGACGCGATGACGAGCGAATTAATAGGGTATTATTTGAACACTGATTTGGACACTGGTTGTTGCATACCGACAGTGTATTGGGTCGTCGTAAATTTTGACAATCGTAACGCGACTTTGGGGAGTGATGGGCGGCGGATTTGGACGGTGATCCAGGGGTCTGCAGGAGACCTGGACGATCATTCTGATTGTTTTTAACGCAGTTGTTGCATTTTGTGGGGATATTGGGACTTGTGGCTTTGGAACGATGAGTTGGGTCTTTATCGGCGGGGGGTGGTGAGTTTGGCGATGATTTGGGGGAGGGCGATGACTGAAGAGAATTGCGAGGGGGTGTGCGACAAGTGGGAGATGTGGCTATTGTGCGGGTCTGTTTGGGCGAGTGAGTTGTTAAGTTACTGTTACTGTAGATTGACTCGTTGTTGTTGTTGTTTAACTTTGGTGTGGTTGTTGGGGGCGAGAGGGAGGAGGGGTATTTGGGTTTTTCCGGGTGATCGGAGGGAGAACGAGGGGAGGTGGAGCCGTTGTGGGCCTCACGGGGAGGGGAGGTTGACTCCCTCATCGCATGACTGCGAACGAGGAGTTTAACCTTTGTGTTTATCTGCAATTGTTGGCATGGGAGAAGAAATTATCGTTATTACGTGCTTCTTTCAAGTTTTACGGTGAAAATAACTTGCTGTACTCACCCTATTTCGACTGTTGTTACATTCCAGTTCGGCTTTGTCAGGTGAATTTGACGACGGATGTGTATCGTTATCCCCTGCACTATTGTCAACATTGACGTTGACATTAGTGTCTAACATGTTCTGTTCACTTTTGACTCTGTATGTCACACTGTTACTACCACCACTGACTGATATAATAGCATGCTCGGACGATGGTAGTGCAGGCATAACAGATGATGCTACGCCAGTTGGACTCGATGATCTGCTTTGTGACCTACTGCATCCCTTGTGGACCACTATACTCGGTACTGTAAGAAAGAAGAAGAGAAATCATTGTTTAAAAATCTTGTTTGCGATGGCTTTTAGAACTCAGAAACATGGTGGGGGAGTAATTGGATATTCTAATGATTATTTTTGCTTCCGAAGGCAAGCTTTGTAGTCGTTGATCTTGATGATCATCCAATTTTGCCTGGAAATGATGTACAATGGTACGCAACGTGAAGATTTGACTTTTTTAGAAAATGTGTGTATGTATGGATGTGTGTGCAAATTTTTCGAATTTTTTTTATAAATCTTCACAGAAAGAGGACTAAAGTTGAAGCTAAAAATCTGAAATTTCGTCACATAATTGGTATTACTTTGGAGCACTTCTGGGCACAATTTCAGCTCAATCGCTCAAGTAGTTTCCGAGATACAGCTATTTCTCAAAAATCTCTTTTCCTCAATATCTCGAAAACTACGTGATTGAATTGAATATTTTTGACGCCAAAATATTCCTTGTGATAATATCTATCAAATCAAATCACAATATTGCTGTGTAACTAGAGACAGTATGATCATAATCGGCATTTTGCGTTTTTATGAGAAAATCGTTCTGTGCACGATAACTTCTGAAAAAATTTAGATAGGATGTTGAAATTTGGTGAGATTGTAGCTCCTATGATATTACAGGACGAGATTGTGAGTAGACGATATGGGACAAGCGGTTTAGAAGAATATTCAACTTTTTGTGAAAAACTGCACTGTTCAATATCTCCCCAACTACTGGTCCGATTAATTTTTTTTTAAATACTCGTCTTGCCGCCCTCTATCAAGACCGATCAAAATATGAATACCCGTCCATAAAAGTTTTCAAGATTTTCCCGTTTTTAAAATTTTTCAATTAAAAGTTAATGAGGCGTTCCATAACACGCGTAAAACTTATCAATTAAAATAAACATCTGAGATTATGGCTACTAATAAGTATTATTGAGTCAGACTTCTGCATAAAATATTGCGTGAAAAATCGTTTTCTCTAAAAAAAGTCACCCATCGTCATTTTATCAATTATTTTCGTCTCCGAGATCTTATTCTCGACTTGTCTCACAAAGATAATAAAAATCAAGACATATTGAAAATGAAAAACTTACTTTCGAGTCGTGCCATGTGTCAAATAATTGCCTATTCAATATTAAAACCGATGTAATTTTTACAAATCATCATTGAGCGAGGCAACAATACACTGCCATCCACCTTGTAACTCGCACTCATTAACACTCGAATAAAATAATGAACCACTTCAACATAATGATCATCAGTAACTCTATATAAAAATATCCACCATCTCCGAATGCACTGAAAAATCAATTCTCAGCGAAAAAAACCAATAAATCCGTCAATAGATTAACAGCTTAATTCATCATATTTATAACTATTCGTTATTTATATTCACATTCACATCGTTTGAAGTGACCGATTCACTAGCCTTTTTTACTCAACGTAGATTTTATTTTTTCCCTCTGAAATTCTCACGTTGACAATAGCGTGAAGAACAGTGGGATCGCGCGCGTCCCGATGTTACGCACGATCCCAGTCAGAGTGTCTTTGGAATATCAAGGCAACCACCCTGAGCCAATAATATTGGTGTTGATGGTGGTGGTTTGATATCAACGCCTGCGCTCTAGGACAATCGCTAAGAAGCGCGAGCGCCGTAACGCTGAGAGGAGAACTTGACTAAACGGGTGTCCCAAGAATTTTGTACCGAGAAATACGGAGTGATCGATGACGACAAGGGGGGGGAGGGGGGTCACGATAAATTCACTTGATAGTCCATGAAGGGGGAGAATTTGACGAATTTTTCTTGATACGGAGAAAATTATTTGGTGAATTTCAACAACTGGTTGGTGAATTCCAACACAACTGGTTGGTGAATTCCAGCAACTGGTTGGTGAACTTCAACAAGTAATTGGTGAATTTCAAGTAGTTGTTGAAATTCACTATCTGGTTGGTATTTTTGTCAACAACTAATTGGTGCATTTCAAAAAATTAATTGGTAAATTTCAATAACTAGTTGGTGAATTTTAACAAATAGTTGAATTTTAACAATTAACTGGTGAATTTCAACAATTAGTTGTTGAAATTCACCAAATAATTTTTTTCGTGCAGGGTCAGCCTGGAAGGGTGTGACTTAGTCAAGTCGAAAATTGGTTGGCCCCAATAGCTAAAAAAAATGTTCAGAATTAATTGAATGGTGGCTTTAAAAAATCGTTTGGATGTCCTTTTGACCGAGTTCGAAGATGAAGGCGATGGCAATAATTGTTATTTTGATTTATTTGAAAATTTGCAAAAAATTTTGATTTTCTGAAAATCAGAATTCCGGAGATTTCTTAGAATATCATACGTCAAATGAATTCAATCATAGCTTAAAATGCTTGTTTCAATGCCTTTGAGTCGAAGTTAAAAGATGATTACGATAGCTATATTGGTTGATTTAATTTCAATGATAATTGTTGAAAATTTTGAATTTTTCATGAATTTCCCTGAAGGTGAGCTTTCTGACGGTTTCTTCAAATGTGATATTTCAAATTCATTCAAGTATGTAGAAATAAAATTTTTCTATTGACAAGAAGACAATCGGTTGCATAGAAGAAAGGGCAAATAAGAATAATGATGATAACATTCAAATAAGTTGAAAATCTACTAAAATTAGTTGAAATAGTATATTTCGTAACGAGTGCAAAAAAGTGTTTTTGACACTGCTGCTACGTTCACCTCGTGTCGAAAAGTGCCTTTTCGTTTACTCGTAAACGAAAAGTCTTTTCGTTTACTAGTAAACGAAAAAAGGCACAGTTCGCCACTCGGTGAACGTAACATCACTGTCAAAAACTATTGTTCGACACATGTAAGACAGGAATTTTCAGCTCGTGTGTTTGGCAGCCCTCGGCTTCGCCTCGGGCCGTCAACTTCACACTCGTGAAAATTCTGTCTCACTCGTATCGAAATATACTATTTTTGGCGAGTGGGAGGTTTATATTACGAGCCGAAGGCGAGTGGTATAATCCCACGAGCTAAAAAACATTTTTTCACGAGTTACGAACAATATTTTTCATCACAATGTGGCGGAAATTGGACTTTGAGGGACTTTTTCATCACAGCGTGATGAAAAGTAATCTTACTCAATCTAATAAAATTCAGGAATCAACGAATTATACATGATAGAAGAAAATAATGTGCAAAATAACCGTTCAGAAGCATATCGCCAATTTCCTATTTGTTTTTTTTTTATAATTTCTTTATTTTATAATTTTTTTTCGCTCGGAGAAAACTTCACAAAGATAATGCTGCATTTTCTACAGCATCATTTCCATCGGCTTTTTTCCAACCTTATATTTTCACGTGCAAGTTACTTCACTCGCTTCAATCACCGATAGATAAACTCTTTTATGATTATTGGCTTTCAGGAAAGAGCTGCTGAACAATATCCGACATCGTTTCACCAGTACTCTCAACACTCCAAGATCCTTTTTACGATCAATGCATTAAGCACGAGAAAATAGTATATTTCATAACGAGTGCAAAAAAGTGTTTTTTGGCGAGCGGGAGGTTTATATCACGAGCCGAAGGCGAGTGATATAATCCCACGAGCTAAAAAACATTTTTTCACGAGTTACGAACAATATTTTTCATCACAATGTGGCGGAAATTGGACTTTTAGGCACGCGGAGCGTGCCGAAAAGTTCACTTTTCGTCACAGCGTGATGAAAAAATTTATTCACTAAATTATTGGGAGGAATGAATGATAAAGGATGAAAAAATGAACTGCAAAATGTAGAATTATAGTATATTGTGTTACAAGTGCGTAAAGAACCCCTTTTTCGTCCGCACGCGTAACACATCCTATTTTTTATAATACCTACCGAGTTCACTGTTTGGAACGGTAGTGGGGGTAAAGTGGTTGCTTTTGTTAACGGTGTGCGCAAAGTTCAAGGTCGTGCGTAAAGTGAATTTCGAGTGCGTAAAGCGAAGCTTTACGCATGACCTCTGAACTTTAGCACATTGTGCGTAAAACAACCACTTTACACACACTAAACGGTTTCGAAAAGTGAACTTTCGAGGCAGATATTACAAAAATGTTTCTATCGAATAATTTCATCTCTGAAAAACCACATCAATGAGCAAAATGTGAGCAATTTGTACTTTTGTACTCTTTACGATCAATACATTAAGCACGAGAAAAAATCTATCCACTAAATTATTAGGATGAATGAATAACAAAAGATGAAAAAATGAACTGCAAAATGTAAAATTAATGTTTCTATCGAATAATTTCACCTCTAAAAACCACATCAATGAGCAAAATGTGAGCAATTTGTACTTTTGTACTTTTTACGATCAACACATTAAGCACGAGAAAAAATCTATCCACTAAATTATTAGGATGAATGAATAACACAGGATGTAAAAATGAGCTGCAAATCGTAGAATTAATGTTACTATCAAATAATTTCACCTCTGAAAAACCACATCAATGAGCAAAATTCGAGCAATTTGTACTTTTTACGATCAATACATTAAGCACGAGAAAAAATCTATCCACTAAATTATTAGGATGAATCAATAACAAAAGATGAAAAAATGAACTGCAAAATGTAAAATTAATGTTTCTATCGAATAATTTCACCTCTAAAAACCACATCAATGAGCAAAATGTGAGCAATTTGTACTTTTGTACTCTTTACGATCAACACATTAAGCACGAGAAAAAATCTATCCACTAAATTATTAGGATGAATGAATAACAAAGGATGAAAAAATGAACTGCAAATCGTAGAATTAATGTTTCTATTGAATAATTTCACCTCTGAAAAACCACATCAATGAGCAAAATATGAGCAATTTGTTGTGTTTTAAGGCTTTCAACATCGTAAACCACCTTATTAAACCCTTATTATTTTCGTCCCACGACTGGGTCATGCACGTGCCAGTCTATCCAAGACTGTGTGAACCATGCAACCGGTCAGTGTATGGATCACCTTTTGCATTTATATTTGCCGAAGCAATCCAACCGGAGAACAAATTAAAACATCGGCAATTCTCAAATTTCGTCAGAGCGGAAATCCCCCCCCCCCCCCCC